GAAAAAGTTACTGGGTAGTCTAAGGTTAGAAATACTCGGTAGCATCCCAGGAAACCGGTAGGTCAACGTCGTTCATGTTTATAACGATGACTCGTAAGTTTCTCGTTAACCACTCCACTTTATATATATCATTTTGTGGAGTGAAAGTGGAGTGGTTAACGAGAAACTGTCTGGTAACTAGTTCGGTTTTAGACCGAATGCTTCGACCACCGATGCTTTGCTATTTGTCGCGAACAGATTATTTGACAATGCTTCTATTAATAAAATCAGTATTGGTGTGAGTATCGACCTAGCTAAGGCTTTCGACTGCGTACCGCACCTCGTCTTACTACAAAAACTGGAGACAGATCATTAATAAAAATGAGGAAGAGCATGGGTTCCAAAATAGACCGCTGAGGCGCACCAGAAAGGATATATGCTACGTTAGAAAGGGTAGTGCCTACCTTTACATATAGTGAGGGACCCTTTAGATAAGATATAAACCAATTGAGAAGTTTATCGTCTACACCGACGGATTTTAGTTTTTGTAGTAAGGGGAGGTGCGGTACGCGATCGGAAGCCTTAGCTAGGTGGCACGACACTTTTTCTTTCCTTGATTCTTGATTCTTCTTCATCACTACTTCTTTTTTAATCGTTATCTTCATCATCACTTGAAGCTTGTTGGTTCTCCTTATTTTTCTTCAAAACAACGGTAATGTGCAAGCTTATACCACGCTTGCCAAAGAAGTGAGACTGAGCTTCTCTATACCATTTGGGAAGCCATTTCATGGCTCAATCAACATATATGTCGGAGTTCAGATTAAAATCCAGTTCAGTTTAAAACTGAACTAGTATAAATCGAAATTTTAATAAAACTGGCTCAGTAATGCATTTCAAAACGAACTAGTTATGTTTCAAACTGAACTAGACGGTATCAAAATGCAGCACCGTTCAGCGAAGTTAAGTTATATCCTTCTTGTAGCAGCCTCTTTTCTTTTAATACTGTGAAGTTTAACAAAGCAAGAAAACAAAAACGAGCAAATATTTGTTTTAGGAGTTTTCACATTTTGTTGCTTTTCCTCCATGACATTCTGTAGAACATTTATGATTATTTTTTTTACATGGACACCGTTTTGTATTACAGGCGCCAGCGCATTTACATGTATATCTGCCGATTTAAAATTGGTATAAATTTGACAAGCTTATATAAAGGTTATCAGTGGCAATAAATCAATATTTAGGGCGCGTAGTGCACCAAAAATTGGCCGTTATAAGATCAATAAAAGTAGCTGATTCAAGAGTTTCTATGATATTACCAGTTTGTGTTGCTACAGTATACAATGTTTTACCGTTTTCAGTATTACATCGTACTACTTTACACGGCAATACTGTGGGTTTTGAAATGCATTACTGAGCCAGTTGAGTTTCAAATCTACCTAGTCTACTTTGTCAGTTCAGATCTAAATTTTGATTTGACCTAGGTGAAGTTGAAATTCTGAAATGTACTAGTTCATTTTGAAACTGCTTTTCAAACGAACTAGTTTATATTTAAATTTCGATTTATACTAGTTCAGTTTTAAACTGAACTGGAGTTTAATCTGAACTCCGACATATATTCTCTAAAGTCCAAGCGAGAATGTTTTCTTCACATATGGTAAACGTTACCTTACGATAAAACTCACAGGCGAACTGTAAAATATTTAACCGCTCTCACCTTTATTCTGTGATGAAATGCCAGTTATATGGCAAATCATAATTGAGAAATACATGAGAAAAAACTATTCATATGGTTCTTATGACAAGTAGAAAGGATTTAGACAAAGAGAGGGCGTCTTAATAAAATTACTGTGTAAGTTTATAAGTTTTGGTCTCAACTTTAAAGTGAGTCTGAGGTGAATGATTGACCCTGATTGCATTATGTTCCCGAAGAGAAAACCGGATAAAATATGGTGAAATCAGCTATCTTAAAAAATATTCCTTTTAAGAGACCCTTTTATATCAAAAGTTGTTATTTTTCATTCTTTTTTGTGACATATACCGACTTAGTTAAATTGCGAAAGAAATGTGCCTCAAAAGAAAATTTGTCCAAAAATTCGATAGTGTAACACAGTGACTAGCGAAAATGAGACCTATTAAGATAAGGGGACTAGTGGAATCAATTGTAGATAATGAAAGGGTGACTGGAAAAATGTGGAACTAGTAATATTATCGGACACCACCAAGATGATCGTCTGGACGGGTGATCAGAGAGGTCCAAAAAACAACAATGATCGGACGCCATTGTCCTGCACAAAGTGGCACTTTGCGGACCTCAGTCATACCCGCAGACAGGGCATCGTGTTTCGCTATCGGACATGTTGTTTACGATGGGCGTCTGGACGCTTATCTTAATGGTCTCCAATAATGTTGATCTGAAATAATTAAAACGCGACAGGCGTCCTCATCCGTCTTTTTCTGCGGCGTCCGGACGTCGTCATCCCGTCCAAAAGTGGCACTTTGCCCACACCTTTTTAGGCCTTGGTCACCCGTTCGAGGCCGAAAACGAACCTCAGTTTTTAGCCGTCTTTGGTTTACCCGGGTGAAGGCTAATGCGGCAGTTTTTGAATATTATGTGCAAATAGGGCCAATATGTTTTTTTATTCGTAGTGCGATCTTTTATATATGAGAAACCACTTTTTGTTTTGTCGCACCGTTAATTGCTATTGTAGCCACTTTGAGCAAGTGAGAAGTTTATGATAATAACAGAAATGTTCCGTCATTTATTTATACTACTTCTATGTAGCGTTATCGAGACTGACCCACTTATCCACTCATAATGATCCACTTATAATCCTATTAATAGAGTGTTAACTTTATTTCAATCCCTATCTGCCAGTCTCGCAATTAGCGCTATATTTGTAGACATGATCTATACATAATCCTTTACAGAGTTTATAAACAATCGTTTCCTTTTATGTTGTTCTTGGCATTTTGCAAGAATCACAATTGCAACGGTTGCTTCCAAATTGTGATATATCAATACTTTCGCTGATCATTCCTAGTGCTAATCTTTCCCGTGCTGAAATTTTCGTGCTTAATTTTCCTCGTGCTGAACTTCCACCTTTCCATCTGTACGCATGGTTTGTGTGTAGGCAGATGGTTCTTAAAAAGGAAATAGAAAGAGCGCACAGTATCGTTTTTCAATTACAAAAAAATTTTGAACGAAATACTGTATACTTATTTTAATTTGTAATCATCACTAACCCAAACTAGACAGAAGTCGACAGACAGAGTCGTATCTCACTTTTCTTTAAGTGCCCGAAAAGGATTAAACAACTTCATTTTTCTATTTCCATTCCAATTACATGAGTCAAAACAGCTTCGTTCAACTGATTTTTACGGCCACTACACGCGCGCTATTGTGTAAACTTTCAACAGTTTCGCGCCTTCAATAGCTGAATAGGGCAATAAATGGGCTTATTTTTTCAAATAAATATGAATGATTGAATCGTTCATTTAGAACTTAATTGTGGCGGTCCTGCTTGTCCTAATTGTCGTAAATGTCGTGATTGGTATTATACGGGCGATTCCTGTAGTCGGAATTGGCTCAGTAATGCCAACAATTGGGGAAACGCTGATTGGAAGCGCTATACAGACAATCATTTTTGGAAGCGTTTCAAGCGTCGTGATAATGCGACATGCTATGTTTCTTCTGCTGATGGTCATATTGGTGGTGTTTATCATATTCATGTTATTCATCATGATGATGGTCTTCATGTTCTTTGTCTCTGTGCGGACAACAAATGACAATTAGAGACATGATTATAGTGTGTGGTGGACGAAACAATTTCGTTTTTGGTATTCCATTGTCTGTGTAGTGTGTCGAATAAAGAGAATCGGAAAATATGTTTCGAGTGGAAGTAGTCCTCAAGAATGAGAGGCCGCAGCCCTCCTCCACCCACTTCACCGAACTAATCGAAGATCACATGGCAAAGGGATATTTTTTATAAACAAACTTGCACTTACAGAAAAATTTTACATCTCTACTATCCGAGGAAAACTTCAAAACAAGTATGTCATCTGTGAGCTGGAAAACGAGAAACTACTTTATTTAGTTAAGCCTGACTCTATAATCCAGTATCACCAAACATATCACGAGACAGTTTTTGATACTCTCTTTCAAACAGCGTATTGAAAGTTGAATTTTGGTGTAGTCATTTGTTTTGATAAGGAAAATTTTCTTTAAAAAGTAAGGGTCCTTTGGAGATTTTCAAAGTTTCGCAATATTGTCAAGTTTGATTTTCCGTCGAAAGTAGGTCATAAGGGCGTGGAGAGTGGCACTTTAAATGCTATATTGCAACAAGAAAAATCTTTGTTCCAAATGTTAAACTGTCAAAATAAATGATTTGCTAGATAATCGGATGCGACTTTAATAAAGATCATAAGGAATTACAAACAATATGAATGGTGAAAAAATCATATACTCAACTGTAATTAAAACAGATTTATTCGAAACACACATGACTGCATTGTGCATATCTTCAGAGCCTAAGTATGATTGCAGAGTATTGGTTGACAATAAAATATTTATATTGTTCGAAATCAAAACTATGGCCAACTCTGTCAATTTATTTGTCCGACTCTCAAGTCAGTATGAAAACTATGAATAAAACTTTTCTAAGCTATCGTCTACAAACAAAACTATGCATTGAAGTGTATGACATTTATTGATAGAAACGAATATAATGATATAGTCAAGCATTCAAGGATCCTCTTCAACAATCTCTGAATTAGGCACGCGTACAAAACGAATAATAAATATGAGTAATATGTGTGCCGATTGAAATAATACGATCTCTTTAGCGTCGGGTGGTATGTGTGAGTAAAAGCCTGATTCACAACTTCGTCCATACTTTTCGTCACCTTTCTTGATAGTATACGATCGGTCTGGCAGCACAGCATAGAGCATAATTTCGTCCGAATGCTTGTCAGATTTAGCACAATGAATGGCATAATCGGCTTCAAATCCCTGATAGATACCTTGACCGAAATAACCAGCGTCGAGAATTTTCATCTTATTTGATTCTAAGTCATTACTTGACATTTGTTTTACTCGTTTCGGTTCTAAAAAGCCATTTTCAGCAATAGCTCTTAAACATTCGCGAGGCGATCCATGGTAGACGAACGTTATTTTCGCATGTTGCCCAAGTTGAGAACGAGAATTTTCAAACTGTTTGAATAGGCGGCGATTTCGAATAACGTAAAGACTTGATATGCGATATTGTGATTTTCCAGAAAGGCTATTGAAAAATTTACTTTCAACATCTCGCCACCAAAATGTGCTTTCTACGAAAACCTAAGCATAGGGTTGATCATTTCTAGCATTTTTGATTTCATTTCGGATCAAATTGTTTGGTTTGTTGGTAAATATTGAAGAAGCGTTTCTTGGATTTGAACCAATTGTCACATAAAGGGGCAGCGGAATTCATAGAACTCTACACTGATAAAATTATCAAGACTAGCAGAAACAATTCAAGAGGTAGCATCCAGGTTTTTCTGAATTTCTAAAATTTCAAAAATTCATAATTAGCCATTCCACGAATGCAGAATTAGCAGAAAGAATTCAGAAATAAACTTCAAGCTTTCTCTTTCAATTCAAGGATAAAACAACTGTTTACAACAAGAATACAAAAAAAATTCGTAACACGACTTTCTATCAAATATTGGAACTCAACAATTCAAAAATTAAGAGATGCATCTGACTTCTTTCAATTCAAAGAATACAAAAATTCAGAAATTCCAAATACCACTTTTTATCCATTCTCGGAATTAAACAATTCAACGATTGAGAGACGCATCTGAGTTCTTTCAATTCAAAGAACACAAAAATTCAGAAATTCCAAATACAACTTTTCTATCAATTCTCGGAATTAAACAATTCAGCAATTCAGACACGCATCTGAGTTCTTTCAATTCAAAGAATACAAAAAGTCACAAATTCCAAACACGACTGTTTTAACAATTCTCGGAATTCAACGATTGAGAGACGCATCTGAGTTCTTTCACTTGGAACAATACAAAAATTCACAAATTCTAAATACGTCTGTTTTATCAATTCTCGGAATTAAACAATTCATCAACTGAGAGACGCATCTGAGTTCCTTCAGTTCAAAGAATACAAAACCTCAGAAATTCCAAATACGACTGTTTTAGCAATTCTCGGAATTAAACAATTCAGCAACTGAGAGACGCATCTGAGTTCTTTCAGTACAAAGAATACAAAAATTCAGAAATTCCAAATATGACTTTTTATCAAACCTCGGAATTCAAGAATTCAGCGATTGAGAGACGCATCTGAGTTCTTTCAATTCAAAGAACACAAAAATTCAGAGATTCCAAATACGACTTTTTGTTAATTGTCGGAATTCAACATTTCGGCAAGTGAGAGACGCATCGGAGTTCTTTCAATTCAAAGAACACAAAAATTCAGAGATTCCAAATACGACTTTTTGTTAATTGTCGGAATTCAAGAATTCAACCGCTGAGAGACGCATCTCACTTCCTTCGATTCAAAGAATACAAAAATTCAGAAATTCGAAACATGACTTTCTATCAAATCTTGGAACTGTACAATTCGACGATTGGGAGACGCATCTGACTTCCTTCAATTCAAACAATACAAAAATTCAGAAATTCCAAATGCGACTTTTTAACAGTTCTAGAAATCCAGGAAATCAACAATTGAGAGACGCATATGACTTCTTTCAATTCGGAGAATACAAAAATTAAGAAATTCGAAACATGGCTTTTTATGAATTCTTGGAATCCGCTGATGCAACAAAATATTATAGCGTCGATTTTGCTGTAGTATAATAAAGTAGTGGTCAGTTGTTTGTATTCATGTTTTCTACGTTTTGGTTTTTTCAAGCTTTCATGATTTCATTCTTTGAAGTGTCAGTCGTACGGGATATGTGTCGCCTCTTTTTAAGAGTGAAAAAATCTTGTTAAGAAGATTGCAAGGGTCAAAAGTATGAATATATCTAAAGAATCTTTTCGAAGTCGATAGTGAAATTGACGTTATAGTCTTGTCGATACTTCGGCACTCCTGCCGGGGGATGTATAGATATTTTCACTTATATATCAATAAACTATTTGTGCTGAGTGACCATTCCACGTGACTGTCAGCTTTTGCAGACTATGCACATATTTTGGAATACTCACAGCCCGGAGTCACGTAATCTACACAGACGGAGAAAGTCTTATTTGTAGCTTAAACATTTCTTTTTTAATATGACAGCTATAGGAAAAATTCAGCTGATAGCTCATTCAATAGGTGTTCAAATCATGCGAAAGCTGACAGTTAACTCGATTTACAAACACTTTTGCAAAATTCTGTCCACCGAGATTAGAATTAGATTCATATGCCAATGACTAACCCTAAAATTTTTTAAAATAGACAAGAAGATAGAGTATACAAAGCTCTACATTTTGGTCAGAGCTGGATAAGTCAGGAGTTTTGCAAGTCACAAGTCAAGTCAAGTGACTAAAAAAATTTTCAGGTCAAATCAAGTCATCCCTTTAAATTTTTTCCTCCAAGTTAAGCCAAGTCTGGTTAAAATTAGGCAGAACATAAAATTTATTAGCACCTTTTTGGGTGAGAGAGTTTTTATAGCCTCAGAAACTCTCTTTCATGGTAGAAAAAGTCTAATTTAAATGAAAATCTCTTACTAGAAATGACTTGACTAGAAAGAAATTTCTCAAGCCAAGTCAAGTCATACCCTCAAAACATTTTGGACCAAGTCAAGTCAAGTCTGACTTGACTTGCCTAGCTCTGATTTTGGCTAAAAAGGAAAACTTTTTAGAGTTTTTTATCCAATCGAAAATCAGAATAACTGATAAACTCACTGAATAACTAATAAACTCACCGAGAAACTGATTGGTCTATAACTCCGGAACAGTTTATCCGTTAGAGCCGAACCCTTTATCCTTTTCTTCATTTGCTGTACAGAATATGTAATAAAAACGGCAACTCTCTAGCTTGCCTTGTTACAGAGAAAATATCATTTTACATCGAAAATGTTCACCGAGATTATTTCGTGTATTTTTCGACTAAAATAATTTCGAATTTCAGCTCATCGTACATCATACGATTCGTTGAAACCTGGGCTATTCGTCTATAATTACAAAATTTGTGGGGCTATACGTTATCCTTTATTTGTTTTGCACATTCTACGATCAATTAAAGCTTGAAAAATAGCCCAATTAGTTTGTTGTTAAGAAAACTATAATAATTACTGTGCATATGCTGACCCAAAATTTAATATTCGATTCCTGAGCTGTGCAAATAAGAAAAGGATCTTATGCCCCATAATTCTACTCCAGAATTATAGTTTTCTGCTTCTGTCAGTCATTCTTAGGAAAAAACAATAATTTCTTTGTTTAGAAGGAGTTTTGGGTTCAGTAAAATCTTTAAAAATCCGCCAATATTTTCAGTAAAGTGTATGGTAAATTATATTTTTAGATACAGTCGAAAGTGCTCTATACATACGACTCAAAACTCTTTTATTTTTAACTTTTTTCGATCGATTTTTTTTCATGAACGGTACAATGGCTATGTAATTCACTCAATATTGATTACGTTTATTGACCATCAGGTATAAGATGATCTGCATGTATATTTTTACATAAACTAATGCATATTGTTCTTGGTATACATATAGACGAATTATTAGATTAGTGTTGTTGCCATAAAGTGTGATTATAACCGCGCTGTGATCTTTTTCTTCTTCTAATAAACGTATGATGAGAATACGCTATATTCTCGTTAGAACATTGTACGGATTCTTGATAATAAAGTGAGAAAGAATTGTTTATTATTCCAAATTTTTTGTTTTATAATTGTTCCAGTCGTCGAATAATAATAATGAACTCAAAAAGTTTATATTCTATTATTGTTCTTGTTCAGTTTTCAATTTTATTACAAATTTGCCAAGGTTAGAAACACAGACAGATGAATGTTTTATTCAAATATTTAGAGAAGTAGTTTACACGTCTACTGTTACCTCCAATTGGAACCATACCGTAATAGAAATACTGATAAATGAAAGTTTTTTCTTTGTATTCCTATTGATGACGATGGTGAGACCGAGTAATACTAATATACTACTGCAGGAAAAACCGTGTAACATCGCAAAGTTCATACCTCATATTATACGACTGAAAAAGAAAAATTTTAACTTGGGAAGGCAAATTGCTTCCCTGTAACTCTTTTTTTTGTTTTAGCTGGTGAAAAACCAACTAGTGATCGTCCTAATCGATGGCATCGTCGCCACCAATTTTGGAATGCAATGAAACGCCATGCTTATTGGACAAATCGATTTAATCCATATTATAATTATGGTTATGCTGCTGCTGCTTCACCAACATACAACTATGGTGGTAAATACCCAATATGCATATACGTTTATGCGTCGTATTTTCTTAACCTATTTTATTCAGATATTCCATTTTTTTCATGTTTTAGGCGGTTATGGTATGGTGAAATCTGGTTATATTTATTATAAGAAACCGTTTGGTCATAAACGTTTACCATGGAATTCAGTGTTAACACTTCTATTGAAGAAAAATGGTCGCAGTGTTGCACGTTATAAAGTGATGATATCATCGTTACCGTATCGATTTTCGATGCGTATTCCGGCTATGCGCAAATATAATCATGGTAATCGTAGACGTCCACACGGTTATCAAATTATGGCTATAATAACAAATAATCAAGTTGATTTGCATTTAAAAAGTCGAAATGTAACAAACGTTAAACGACGAGGAACAATGAAACTTATTGTTGAATAGTTTGACAGAGAAGATATAAGCGTCAATGCTATTTAACTCAAAACTATCGTGACTAATAATGTTAGCAAATTGAATCAAAAACTACGCTTTATTTTCAGTAAAAACAACATATACTACATGAAAAGGTGGTGTCTGATACGTCATTAGATTCTGATCATGACATCATCTGCTTCCCAGTCTTGAGATACTGATGGTTTGGTTGCTTGGGCATCAGGAGATGTAAGCTTATCCAACTCTCTTACCTTTGCTCCATACCATTAAGCACATTTTGTGGAATGTCTTCCATTACTTGATAAATACGCAAACTTTTTTTAAACATCAATTGGACATAACACCTTTCAAAACACTTCAAAACAGATTTATCTACTATAGTAAAGCTTATTTTATATATTTTCCAAGCTTTACTGGGAATCTCTTGAGTTTAACTAGATAGAAGTTTCTCTAGTTACTAGATATGCAGAGACTAAACTTGATTCTAAGTCGTATTTTTTTAGAGTGTTTACAGAAAAAAAGCGCTTATTCTATATTTCGACATATTCGAAAGAAAATTTATCTTTTTATTCTGTCGACAGATATTGTGTTTTTGCTGGGAATTTTGTTTTTATTTTTGCAAAATATGCGCCGCTTGATCTAGAGAAGTAATGCTACGTAGAAATGTAGTTTGAACTTTGAAATTTTTCGCCTGTTCAATTGTCCGGCGCCATTTGTTCTTCAAAGGAAAAATAATTTTCTCTCTCTTATTTAAAGATGAAGAAGTTATCAACGCGTGATCACAGTCTGTAATTTTTTCAATCATAGCGGTAAATCTAAATTTTAACAGATAGTTACTAGTAAAAATAAAAATTTTCAATCGTCCATCGCTAGTATGTATGCACTAGTTAAAAACTTGCGTTAGGGCTTCCACGAAAATTGTTATAAGTCGGCTATACAGAATGACTCAGAGCTGCGGAATCTCTCATTTTGTAGAGAAATGTCTGAACTACAATCCCACATGAGTAGAAAAATTTCAATATTATCTGTGATACGAATATGAGCGTTCTAAAATGCACTAAATATAGAGAAAAAACCTGTTAAAACAGACTATTTTTCTAACTTTAGTGCATTTTAGAAGACTCACATTTTTTGCTAGAAACAACTTGAAATTGTTCTTCCAGTTAAGTTTTCAAGAACAAACATTTCTCTACAAAATAAGCGGTTCCGCGACTCTGAGTAGTTCTTTATAGCCGACTTATAACAATTTTCGTGGAAACTCCAACACCAGTTAATAGTCATTTCCCAATAGTCAATAGTCAGTCTTTAAAAAAATAAGGCGGAAAATTTTTTAGACAGTCTACAAAACGTTGAGTAGAGAAATACCCATCCTAGTAGGAGACGCTACGCTTGATTCAAACTACGTTATAAAATGATTATATTCACTGTATCTAGGTTTATTAACTTGTCGTGAATGTTTTGGGCTAAATCGATTAACAAAATGTACTATGAATAGAAGAAAAGTCAACCCTTTACGGATATCCACTAAAAGGAAAAAAAAGGGAGACAAATTTAGGGAAAAGGATGACAGAACAGAACACATTGTTTGTCCTACAATGTCATTGAGAAAATTTCACACCCATAAATATATCCTTTTCTTTCGAATATTTTTATTATTTGTTTTTCCTCTGGTATTCCTATCTCAGAACGTAAAATTGAGCACAAAATATCTGTTGTTACACAAAAAACAATAAATGATAAAGTCAAACGTAATTTTTTACTTATATATCCAAAATTTTTTCATTTCTACGAACTCTCTTTAAAAAAAAATTTTAAATCATAGAACGAAAATTAGTACACGTTAGATTTGTATTCATTCTGATTTTCAATTCTGTAGTCACTGATTTAACTGACATTTTATTTCATGCATCCGTCGAACAATAATCATAATTCATATATGAATAAAAATTTTAAAGGTTTCTACGATTGAATTGGATGCTGAAATTGAAAAATAAAAGAAATTAATTTTTTCATGGTGTTGGTAGTGTTGGTGAGCTTGTTTGTAAAAACAACTAAGCCTATAGATACAGATAAAAACACCCTAGATATCGCTTCGTTCAATGAATTATTCCTGAACACTGTGTGTGACTTTGATTCATGAACGTACGTTGTTATAGTAACAATGAGTAAAATGGCCGCTAAAATGAGAAAAATAATTTAACATTTCTTTAAAAGTCACCCAATGGAGAGTATTGTATTAGGAGAATATTTTCATGTCATAATATCCTATAACATATGCGAAAAATAACCTCCATAGTTTGACTTTGACTGAGCGCGAATGTGCATTAGAGTCAACGTATTGGGTGGAGTAAATCATACAATAAGCTTTTCTAAAGGTTGCTGGATTTACTCTGCTTGTTCATCGTCTTTCTTGTTTAACAAATCCGTTGTATTTGGCTTGCTCTTTGTTTGTTTACTTTTTATTATTAGACGTATGGCCCAGCGTATATCTCGTCTTCAAGTTGACGATATTGGACCGGGAACAAATCATCGTCAGTGGAGCCCAGAGGGAGACATAGCAGTGCAAACAATGTCAAAATCTTCAACAGTATCGTCTAATAATTCTGCATTACCAAATAGCATCAAACCAGATGGTGACTGTTCTCGTCCAACAAGTAGCTATGATCGATTGGGCCAAAATGATTCAAAAAATGCATCCATGCATCGCGACCATCAGCCATTCAGCAGCAGCGAAGAGCGATATAAACGTGGCGTCCGGTATATTAGTGATGATCTTATTCGTAAATTGAGTAAACAAAATAATTTAATCCGAATAAAAACACTTGATTTTAGTCAATTACGTGATAAAAAAATACGTTATATCGAAAATTTACAAGCACTTGTTAATTTAGAACAATTAAATTTAAACAACAATCTCATCGAAAAGTTAGATGGTCTAAAAACATTGAAAAATTTAAAAGAATTTTATATTGGTCATAATTCCATTAAAACACTAACCAACTTGGAAGAATTATCAAAATTAGAAGTGTTAGACATTCAACATAATCAAATAAGTGAAATTCCTTCATGGTTTGCAAAAAAGTTAACATCATTGAAGTCGCTTGATCTTTCTCATAATCATATCGAATCATTTGATCCAATAGCAAGGTTACGAACGTTGTATGAATTGAAAGAATTGAATTTACAAGGAAACGAAATTCAACAACATGAACACTATCGTCTACTTGTCATCTCTTATTTACCAACATTAAATATTTTAGATAAAATCGATGTCACTGATGAAGAACGTCAACAAGCAACAGAACAGTAAGTATTAAATTAATAAAAACAATGTTTTATTAAAATTTTTTGTATAAAAATAAAAATTTAGAGTATCATAAATTTTGTGCTCCAAATGTGTTATGGAGTACAATGGATAGCATTAATAAACTCTCTTTTATCTCTCTCATCAATAAACTAACTTTTCCGTTAATTATCACATCAACAGTTATATTGGAAGATAGACAAGAGACAGAGGATGCAAAGCAGAGAATTAAGATTAGACATTAAAAAAGCTAACATTCGTTTTATTCTTTTTGTGTTTAGATTTATTCAGCAGGAAGTTCAAAATTTATTACATCTTCTCGAACGACGTGATAGTGAATATCGACGTTTGAATACACAAGCATCGAGTAGCGAACAAAAACTAGAAAAAACAAGTGATAAATTAAAACTATTAGAACAAGTTCGCGTAACTCAAACAAATGAAATTAAGGTATGTCTCTCTTTCACCATCATATTTCATCATCATCTGTATCATTATTTCGGTTATATTTATTTAGCTTTTACGAGAAAAATTGAAGTTAAGTGATGAACAACTAGAACGTAAAGCCTCACTATTATATCAAGCATGCGAAAAACAAACAGAATTAGAGCAAGAATTAGCATTATATAAAATTGATTTAAAATTTGATACCATAGGTAAATAGATGTATACTAACATTGATAGAAATAACTGTTTATTGAAATATAATTTAGATTTTTCTCAACATTTAAATAAGAATACAGTGAAAAATGTGAGTAAAGATTTGACAAAAGATAGTCCATATATTGGAAAATCAAAAATTAAATTGAATAGTTATGCATCAGAAGAAGAAATGATGAATCAACAACAAACAATCAGGTAAAACTTTTGAATAATGCTTCATGATGTTTGTCTATATATTTTTGTTTTATAGCTTCGGTCATGTTCAAGATCAATCCATAATTCAAATACACGCCAAAGATTTGAACAAAATAATTGGATGTCAAGATGCAACGCTGTTCAATTCAAGTAAATAAAAGAGGACTATGCATAATTTGAGCACAGTTGAGAAGTTGCATACCATCAAACTGAATGAACACAACATTCAAGTTTGTTTTATTTTAGTCGTTTTTCTTTTCTCTAGACGATAGTCAAGTACACAATGAAAAATTATTAGAATTAGCTATTAAAGTTAGTGAATTATCATTTTTACGTGCTAAACATGAAATATGTGAAAATCGTCTGGAAATGGCTCGTCAAAATGATAATCTTGATGTGTGTGACGAGATCATTAAAGTAAGGTTAAAGTTGAAATTGAGTTTAATTTAGATTCTATTAAATGTTTGTTTAGAGATCATCGGATGATTTAAATTTCTTACAAAATCAAATTATGGATAAAGTTAGTCATGTTCAAGATTTAAAAATCGATTTGGGTACTATGCGTCGTGATCAAGGTGATGGAATTGGTAAAGAATTGGAACGTATTACAAAAGAATTAAAACTAAACAATGTTGTACAAGAACATATTGAACGACTGAAAAAAGCTGATTTATACGGTAGAAATTACGAGCGAACAATCGAAAATAGTCCTTCATTTGAACAAGCGTTAAATGATGCTATAGCATCATCAGGTATGTTAGAAAAGGTGTTTTAGTCACATTTTATTTAGTTAGATAAAATATAGATGATGCAATACCATTCAAAATATTTCACTGGATTTTATGCAACCGTAAGTATTTCCATAACATGAAACACATTGAAAGTCTCTGTATAACGTCTCTGTATTTAAAAAGATTGTTTTTGTTAGCTGGAATAGCGTTAGATCTTGATAGCGTTTGTCTTGTGGAATTTGAGAGGGCGAGAGAGAGAGAGAGAGAGAGAGAGAGAGAGAGAGTGATTTTAGTAGATCCTATTGCAGACGGCTTGTCCAAAGGTAACGCTGTGACAATTTTGACACAGTAATTTGAGGTTTTCTAGAAAACTATAAGAGCTAGAAAGTTCGTTTTTGCGCCATTCGATTTGGCTCTTCTTACTCTACTTTGAATATAAAAACAAAGATTTATGGTTAAAGACTCGAGCTTTTAGAAAACCTTTTCAGACCGGTGATGTTGTGACATAAAAAGACCCTAAATTCTAACTACTCCTTATTAAAGTGCAAATTTCTGCGATTAGAAGAGCCGACAAAAAGTGTCTTGAGCAAAGTTTTTAGAGGAGCTAACGAGCTTTCTTTTGCTAAAAAATTTTTTTCCGAATCCTTTACTTTGTTTATGGAAACCCAATTTACCAAAGTAACGCTGTGACACTTTTTTGTCGTGCCATTTTTAGGCACTAAACGTTGTTAAAAAAACTTCATACTTATAGTCTGTGTAGTTCTAGGTTTCCTGAAAAGACTCCAGTTGAAAATAAAGTTAGAAAAAGCATTTTCTAAGCCTCCAGGCATAAATATTTTCGTTACGCATGGCAAGCGTTACCTTATCAGTAAAACTCATAGATGAACCAAAAAATATTAGCGTCAATCTTACTTTTATGTTGAGCCCACATTCCAACCACTATAGAACCGCCACCGGAATACAACGGAGAAAGACCTTGACAAATCTGAGATGGAAACTTTTATTCAAGTAGAGCACAGCTGCCACTGATTCACATTGAAGATAGTTCAGCAGTGTAACGAAAGTAATTAGGAAAGAAAGATTCAAATAATTGAAGGAATAATCACTAGCGTCAACTGCTGTGTACTTAATTCGAAAAATTTTAAAACATTCAAAGTAGACCAACAAACTTGATTGGATCATGTTCTCGAAGAAAAAGACGGGTAAAACATGATAAAACAAAGATTTTTGAATAGATCTAGAAAACAATTTCTTGAGCAAGATTTTGGGACATCCTTGATACCCCAGATCTTGACATTTCTTGAATGCAATAGCTTGCATTAGGGCGGGTTGTTACCATTCTGTAAAGAAAACTTTGCTCGATCTTCCTATATATTTCGTATTAAAAATCTTGGTTTTTCAAGTTGTGTAACTGTTGGATGAGAAAGATAATGTGATCAAATTCTGGAGGTGCAATACATTTTTGTAGCGTAATTACTAGATAGCGCGAAGTGTTTTCTACAATGTTGCGTAAGGCCAACCTCTTTATCGCTTACGGCATTTTTCAGAGACTCCCGTATTTGGTACTATTACGTCTGCTAACCTCAAAAACTGATGGAATACACATTAATGACCACGATGATTCGTTGTTTTCAAAAAATCAAAACCCTTATGAAAAATAATATGAATAAATGTACTTTTGAGCACCAAACATTCTTAGATACAAATGATCACCAAAAAAAGATATATTTGATCACCAAATTTTTCAGCATACATTTCACATTTTTATTTCTCAACAAAGTATAATGTACAGCACAAACATTTTCATTGAGATTTTAATCATATGAACAATATTTTTACAGTTTTATTTATATCTATTTAAAAAATTTAAAGCTGTGCTAACTTTTTTCAGGCGCTCTTTTGCTTTTCGTTTGCCTAATAGTTGAGTACGTGTTTTATCGCTAACTTGATACAAGTTAAATAAAATTGCTAATCCAAAATATTTGCACGAATATACTGATAATAGTGTAACAAGTCAACAGGATTATTGCCACACTAGAAAACCATTGAATATATCCACCGACGAGAACGATAAATACCTAGTCAATGGTACATTCAATAGTTTTCATGTGTGGCAACAATCCTGTTGGAAAATTTCAAGTTTGATAATAAAGAGAAGTGATTAAAATTGTTGATTTCAATTTACACAATATACCTTGCAGTAAAAATTAGAATTTGAATAAAACATGTATTTGCGATAAGAGTTACATGATTCAACACAAATTTAGATTACATAGAGGGTGTTTGTCTTCTTTTATAATAAACCTATCTTCATGGATACTAAAAGTTGTATAGCTTCTTCTGGCTATTCGACCAAACGATAACAGACTCATAACTCGCCAAGGCTCGATCAAGAGTACTTTAAAGCATATCTGATTTTATCTAGTACATCTAAGTCTGCACTTAAAATTAGTAGAAGAGATTCTCTCAGTCCTACAGATTTCTAGAAAACTTTTCAAAAAGTATTTTCTGCTAATTTTTAAACTTTTATTGAACTCTACAGTATAGTACAGATAAAATACAGCATATCCTGAACTTTTAAAATAATTTTGATCGATTTTTGCTGAATTATGAATTTTTCAATGTGTACGTGCTTTAAACTTCTATCGCCACTTTATTTGTAGAAATTGTATATAATCTACTATTTTTTCCCATCGTGTATGGTTTCTTTATTCAACTTCTGTTAGCTCTGAAATTTTTTTGAACGTATTTTGGTTCTCATTTTTTTAAAACTCATTATGATTGAAAAATTTTATTATTACATGTTAATTTAAAGTATTGGCCGAAGAGGAAACTTCACACATCTAAAAAAAAAATAAATGATGAGAGTAAAAATTATACAGCTTCAAAACATGTTCTATTTGCAAAAGAAGAATAAAAAATAAAATATTTAATTCAATTTTGTAACTGAGAACAATTTCAATGAACAAAAACAGAAGCAATATTTCGTATATAAACAAAAAAACGTTAAATATTTAACTTGAACTAGTGCATAAATGAAAAGGGTAGGAGCATAAATTTGGTGAATATAAAAAACGATATGCCTTGAAATGCAAGAATTAGAATTTATTCGTTCAGCATCACTCTTAGCTTCTAGAATTTAAATATTTTCTCGTGCAAAAGAACAAAAAGTTTTATATTGAAAATTGGCTGAGTGGTAATTCTCTTATAAATCTTTCTTAAACTACGAGCTTTTTGTCGACGTCCTTCATAGACTATTTGTAAATTTTTTACGTGTATACACTTTTTGATCATTATTGATAGTGAAATAAGCCTTGTCGTAGTTAAACAAAATGTTTTTTTCGAATTTTTTCATGTATTAACATATACATGTAATGAAGTGTAGTGGTACTCGTTGACTACGTACACAGATACGCACGGGTGTTTTATCGAGTCATACTGGTAATAGTTGAAAGTTTATTATTATTTTTTCATTTTAAAAACGAGATAATACGGCATAGAACAAGCGCTTAAGAATATTGATTTTATATGTTACTGTTGTATGAGAAGAGACAAACAAGTAGTTAGTATATCAGGATAATATTCTGTTTCTGTACACTACTTTAAAGTCTATTTTGGTTATCTAGTTTGTTAAAAACAACGTAAATGCTGTCAAGATTGTTTTTGACCATAAAAAAAGTAAATCACGTTAAAATTAGTAAAACAACATATTATTAGCATTATACATATGACGTTCGCATTCATATTGCATTGATCATAAAAATGAGAAAAAAATATTACCATTATTTTCTATTAATTGATGTTGCTTTTTACACATAGTTGTTATCATGATTAGAAAGAAGAAAATAGCCACATCGTAATTTGGTGTAGGGTGAACGTCATACATAAATACACTACGAACAAATCGGGCGAGAAAGCTTAATTTGATTCGATTTCGTCAGTCGTCATAGAGACTGTCTGTCGAGATGTGTCGTCAGATTCATTCTACCGGATCCATTTGAACTCAGTTTCAGAAGGAATCATCATTTCATCAGGATGGACACTCTCAGCTTTTATTGTTGATTATTTATTGTCGTTTGTTTTCAAAACATTTCCATCTACTTATCCCATTTGTTACACGCCACTGTTTAGTGCACGACTTAACGCATACCATGACACCCTGAGGAGAGAACTTTCTACCAAATAAATTGTTTGGACACATATACTTTTACTCAGATCCTTCTTGTAACACAGCAGTCACTTTCACTTGTGTTGATATCGCTCGCTACTTTTCATTACATGTGCGATTGCGGGAATAATAACTTGATAATTCTTGTCACATGGTCTTCTGTGTATTTTAACACTGGCTTCATTCTTATATGTTTTTCCCACAATTGATTTGAGCACGTAAAGTTGTTTACAGTATTTGTTGGTGCTGGAAGTATAACGGGTACTGGTGCGAACGTATAGTAGTGAGAATACCTAAACCTTAAGCTGTCCATCATTATACAACTTTCCCTAGAGAACGTACTTGTGCGAAAGTACTTGGGACAAGTGCTCCGCTTACGTAATGAAGCTTCTACTTGTCTTTTTTGCAGAAGTAAATTTACTTGTAAGTACTTGTCCAGCGTGCAAGTACTTGTTCAAGCTTGAACAAGTGCTTGTCAAGTAAAATTGCAAATACTTGGATTGTTTTCAAGATAATATTATTCGAATGTTTCTCTATTGTCGCTTAATAATTCACTTTATGAACTTATATTCTTCTATGTCTAAAGTCCACAAAGAAAACACGTTTTTCTAAGCATAAGTATAGTAGTGGCGAGCGGTCCTAACCTGTCTAAAGCAGAATTAAAGCATTATGTTCACGAAGAGAAAACCGGGTAAAACATGATGAAAGCAGTATGTCAATTACCTTAAGAAACACTTTATTTTGAGAGAACTCGTATTAAAAGTTTTTCTTTTTCACTTTTTCTTTATATAGAAATCGCTACATAAGAGTTCACCGACGTCAAGATAAATTGTTTGTTGGATTTCAAAATATAAAGTGTTCAATTAACTCTTTTTGAAAAACCCTTTTGATTTTTTGCCCAAACTGGAAAATCCTTTTCTATTTGAAAAACCCAAAACGATGTTCCCTAAACCAAAAGAGTTTACGAAAAAACTCTTATGGTTTTTACCAAAGCTAGAAAACCCTTCGACTCTTTCTAAAAAACACTCTTTAGTTTTTGGTCAAACAGAAAAATCCTTTTTGTTTTCAAATACGCTTTTTTCAGTTTAGGGTGATAAAAAAGATCTTACTTTCCAAGGATTTTCATAAAGTACTCCTTAGTAATAAAAGCAAGTATTTTTATCATTGAGAAGTACTTCTGAAAGTACATAGCAGGTGAGAAATTTTGAAAACACTTGCCAATTTTTCTAAGTACTTACCAAGTAATCAAGTATTTGCATAAAGCACGTTCTCTAGGGTTAACGTTATCGGTTGCTACAATATTTCGATGAACTAATCCTATTTTCGTAAATTTGTTAATCAAAGCCCGCCATGTGTCTTTATCCAAAAACCCTCCCTTCGTCAGTTTTAATTTCCATCATTTCCAAATCGTCTCTAACCAGATCTATCCCTCATTTTCTAACTTCATATGGGATTCGTTTTAGATCTTTACAGAAATAATGCATTGCTTTTAGTGGTCATTTATTGTAGCCTGTCCTCTTAGATCCAATAAGTTCTCATTTGACATTCTCTCACTCAAAGTTAAGCCAACGATGATACGCAGACAGGCCATGTGGAACGCATGTAGTCGTCTTTCATCAGAAACCGTTACAGTCCATGTTTTACTACCATACAACAAAACTTATATAACTGAATATTGAAACATTCTTAGATCAGCCCCCATATTTATACCCTTTTGGTACCATACTACTTTCTAAAGCATATTAGATGCTGACGATGCTTTCGTAATTCGTATGTCAATGCCTTTTTGGTCTGCTTGAACTCCAGCTAAAATGCATTCCTTGGTCAATCTTTTCATTTCGTATAATAATATCGAATTTAAAATTTAACTCCTTATCCTTATCCATTTTACCATCCATGTCTTGTTCTTATTGTTTCAGAGACACTATAACCGCGTTTTCGATGCTCATAGTTAAGCCATACTGATGAGTGACTTTCTTAAACGTTCTGGTACTCAGTAAGTCTTCGAGATCCTTCGCATACTTACGTTTAACGGGTCCACGTTTGACCGATTTCTTAAACAATCATACGCATAAATTCTGCCACAATTCTGAACTTCCTTCAACTCACTCGCTTCTATTCACTTCTATTCACTCGCCTATAGCTTTGGTTATTCTAAATAACTTCATATGCAGGATAGTTTCTTATGATTCATTTTGTTAAACTGAGTTTCATTTCATACCCTAGTAAAAATCTTAAATACGTCTTAAAATTATCTTACTAAGATCTTATAATTTGCGATCTTAATAAGATTTCATGCCTCTACTTTTATTCGCCCTTTTGTTTTGCTCTGATTCATCTGTATAAGTAACACTGAAAATATGAGTGATTTTACGGTTATTTTTCTTTCAGACTCTGGTAGCACTTGGTCTCTCTCTCTCTCGGGTGTTTTTAGACAGTGTACATCAGGTCAAAGTCCATAGTTGGACATCCGTAAATATGAAATTTCTTTTCATTCTTCAACACTGTTCAGCGAATCTTGAATGAATACTATTTAAAAAACGTCAACGTTCTTACCATGAAGATCCTAACAGATTCTTACTCAATCTTGAAAAACTCTTAGACAGTATAATCTTAGTAAGATTTCGCTTACATTTGTCTAAGATCTTAGAAAAATCTTAGAATTTTCGGGTCTCACCATCTTAGTAAAATTTGTTTAAGATCTTAGACAAATGTAAGCGAAATCTTACTAAGATCTTAATAAGATTTTTCTCAGATCTCAGTGAGATTCGAGTAAGTTTCGCACTATGGCAGATTTTTAGCTTTTTTGAATTATCCTATTTCACTCAATCTCGCTTCCCTCATCCGCTCCTCCATGAGAAGCACAAAATCTATTCGATTTTGTTGATCTCAAGAACTCTCACATGAAATGCTGTAAATATTGGTCGCTCGACCATCGATTCACGCATTATCATACAAGTATATTTAAAATTAAATTTGTACATATATGTATACTTTCAGGTACATCCGTACACGATCATGATGAATTATCAAATCGTTTAGCTTTACTTCAACATGCTTTAGAAGCAAATATTGTCGAACAAAAACAATTATTAAAATCAAAATTATTAACTGAGGAACATGCGCGTTTAAAAATTGAAGAATTAGAAGCTCAATTACAACGTGAACAATTATATTCACAAGAAAAATTAGATAAATTAGAACAACAATTAAACGATACCTCAACAATGGCTGAAAAAGAAAAGCAAGGTATATTTAAACAATTAGAAGATGAAAAACGTTTAACACATGATATTATTGACAAATCAGAAACAATGATCACACAATTAAAACGTGAACTATCACAAGAAAAACTAATAGTAAATGAACATCAAAGGTCAAATGAAGCACTGAGAGAAATGAATAAAAAAATAAATCTTCAAAAATTAAAACAACAAAGAATTGAAAATGGTAGGTAGATTGTTCGATTAACAGGTGCCCCATAAATGTCATTGTTGGTATTGTTTGAAATAACTAAACTTAAGACTTAGGCCTTTCTCCTTCCCATGAAATAATTTGAAGCGGCTAACGATCAGTAGAACGCGTTAAATATCAAACTCATCAAAATGTTTCATATTTAGTGTGTTTAAACGGATTAAATTCTTACACTTAATGCGCTCGAACGTGATTTCGAAAAAGAAATGATGAAAACTGCGCTTACATCCGTTAATTTCCAACTTCTCCTGCGTTAGAGAAATGGATTAATCCTTTAAATGTTTCATATTTAACACGTTCTAACGATCGTTATCCTAACGTAAATTCTTTAATCAAGTCAAATTTGTCACAATCTATTTTTTGACTAATTGAAGTCCACCTATTTAAATATGTAGTGGTATCTGCGGCTATAGTCGTCTAGTGATCGAATCCTTTACTATTATCTTTTTCATAGCACGGGATTATCACAAACTTTTTGAATAACTTTTAAATGAAGAGAAATACGGACTTACAGTTTTCTATATTCGAAATAGGCGATTTTGGAACATATTTAGACACCGTTTAAGCATGGCATCGGATTTTAGAAGAGTCCCAGGATCGGTTTCTATTTTGAAAATATCTAAAATGAGTGAAACATAGATTATCGATCATGCTGGATCTCGTGGTAATGTTTGTTTACAGAAAAAGCTTCAGAAATCTACTGAAAATATGTGCTAGATGATACAACACATTTTGAATTATCACGAAAAAATAAAAAATTCATAATGTAGTTAAAATCGATCCAAACTACTTCATAGCATAAACATACACTCTATTTTATCTGCTCAACGTAATTCTATGCTTAAGATTAGTAAAACACATTCGCTTACTTCTAAAGATTTCTGAAAAAACTTTTCAAAACCCAAGTGCTTTTTATCGTTTTTTAAAATTTTGTTCAACTCAAGTTACAAACAGCTCAGATCTTTAGAAACTGATCCTAGAGCTCCTAGACAATCCGATCCGGTGTCTAAACATGTTCCAAAGGCTCCTATTTCGATTTTAAAAAATCGCAAGTCTGAATCTCTCTTCATTCAAAAGTTATTCAAAACGTTTGTGATGATTCCGTGCTCTGAAAAGGATGACAGTCTCAGTCAATTAGTTTGATTAGTCGCCATTGTCTGTCTATATGGCGATGAACAGTTAAAATTGATGAACCACTAGTTGGAAGTCTGTTTTTATTTTTAATGCTCAAATCGGCTAGTTGTGGAGCTTGTTGATCGAAACCGTTTTGGTTTGACATAAATAGAGCATACATACACATTTATTCAGTTTCTGACGAAAAAAATATGACAAGGTGATGATGAAAACTTAACAAAAACTTAAGCTACAACATCCCACAAAAGAAAAAATTAAAAAGAAAAATGAAAAATTAAATTTGAACAATGGGACTTTTGAGTAGAATATATATATATTATTTATTTTTCAGAATGAGCTAGATAAATAAACACAGCTCACTCTTTGGTTACCATACATAAATTTTTCTCATTCTCAATTGTACAAATTATCAAAATTTGATTCGAGAACGTCTCTTATGAATTTAAAAAGCATGTCTATTCTACAAGCTCTCGTTAAAATTTCAAGTGAATCCGACATGGTCTCTTTGTAATAAAGTTAGAAGAGAGAGGAGAGTATTTTTTATGTAAGTTTGTATGTATCAGCATTGAATACTTGTCTTTTATTTATCAATATCTTTTTTTCCTCTATTTTCTTTTTCTTGATGATCATGAACATTCACGTCGAACGTCGCGTTCACCGTCATGTAGCAGTGAAAATGTAGAGAACGATGATAATTTCGATAGTGATACGACTATTCGTCAAAGATCTCACAATAGCGACAGTATAAGTTTGGAGAATTCCACTCGTAAAACAAAATCGCCACCACCACCATTTTCGTCTTCGACACCTCGAAATATGAAAGATAATAATGGACAGCGACAGCTACAAGCGACCGCTATTCATCGCTTATCTCATTCAAATGATACTACTACCACCACGGAATTTCAGCAAGAATTGAGTCAATTGATAGAGAAAAAGAATGATTCAGTAGTAAGTGAAAACTCACTCACATTGCCATCAGCACGCTTAAAACGTGATAACCAAGATGATGGTAGTAAAGAACAAAATAAACAACAAAAACAGCAAAAAACTCAAATTCAGTCACATCAGTTTGACATGCAACGCTGCTCTAACACAGGTTTGCAATCAACAGTTATTTCAAGATTTTTAATTCGTTTCAATTGTTTTAGATACGATTCAAGAAGATGAAAACAATTTATTATGCCGTCTACATGGTTATTACAAAACTGGTCAAGCCTATTTATCTGAGTTGTCTGGTGATAATGACACCACACCAAATATCGACGGCACAAATTATTTACTACAGTCGCTAAAAACAGCAAATGATTCGGGTTATTCGAGTCAACCAACACCACGTTGTGTTGATCCGCTTCTATCAACTCAACCTTTTTCAATTCAAAATTGTTTGCAAAAATTGATTAGCAATGAAAATGATAGGATTCAGTTTAATCATGCTTACACTGTGGGAATGGTAAGAGCTGATCATCATTATCAAAATGCTCAGAACTTTCAACAACGACATACCCAATATCTAACATCAGTAAACATTCCACCTGACGCTTTATCATCAAATCGAATTCAACGATCAGATAATCCGATACAAATTCAAGGTAAAGTTAAAGTTCAGTTGTTATTCTAGTGACAATAGAGCAATCAAGTATAACAAAAGCGAATCGCGGTAGAATATGTTTTCCACTGTAGTAATTTATTCTAGGAGCTTAATACTTCCACTGTCCATGTATCATACATGATTCATTTAATTTTTGACCATACAATTCATGTATCAGACATGATACATTTGCAGGATTAGACTAAATATGATTTTGATCAGAAAAATAATGTTTCTGAACTCGTAAATTTTATTTTACGTGTACTTTTTCAAAACTTGATAAACAAAATAGTTTTTTATAAGTTTCACACTCCGTAGCCACTTGCTTTGCCTTTTTCGATGCCATTTCTGTGTCCGAAGTATGTTTTATGTTGCTGTAACAGTCGTGACATCTTTTTCACGTAAGTTTACCATCTTTTCGAGGAATGTTTCGTAAACCGTATTTCGTAAACCATAAAAAATCTACAATAATTCAGTATACAGATTTTATAACACAATTAAAGGATTCAAAAAAGTATTCATTCTCCTGACGTCATGTTGTATCCTGTACTTGATGTCATTACTGTACATTATATGGATACTATGACAATAATTGAATCATATATGATTCATGAACCTGTGAGTGAATTTTTTTCTACTATACCTCCTGAATCATATAATCAGGAAAATTAAAAGGTTCCTGAAGGAACTTTTGTGCCAAAAAAATAAAAAACTGTCATTTGAGTTTCATAGTAGCATTATCACGTATTATCTAAAATGGACGTATAGGTGATGTTTTAAATTTTTTTGTGGACAGTGAAAGTGTAAAAACTATTTTACCAAGAATGTAGACTTGGACTAAACTTGCAGTACGTCTGGTCTGAAAAAATTGACTTCAGAGAAGACTTTATATATTGATAAAGTCTGGAGAAGAATGTTCTATGATATACTTGATGAAAAGGAGAGGACGGTTAGAATACACCAAAAAAGAGTAAAGTCGATCTGCCTACAAAGATGTGACAGCAGCATCGATGAAATTTCATACTATTCTACTTTTCATACTTTTCATCGCTTTCATACTGAAATTCTACAAAGTGTGCTGGATGCTACATACATCAGTAGATCTTGCTTGGACCAGCTTATTAAGCGGCTCACTCATATGTAGTATCCCATCCCACCTGATCAGTCCACTACTAGCTTACAGTTACACTATATCAGTGTATTCCTGCAGTACATTTCATCTTACACTGTTTTTTGTGTATTCTAACCGCTCTGGAAAAGGAAGTGAAAAATGACTACTGAAAAATATAGGGAGTAAGGCGCCCGCAACTCGAAGTTCCCGTAACTTTTTTCTTTTATATATTTATACATGATTGAATAGAGGACATCGAGCGGAGTAAGAAAAAGTTGGTTTTAAGTTTTGAAAAAAAATTTTTCAGGGTAAAAATTTTGACAAGTTTTGACGATTTTATTCAAAATCGCTACAGTTTCGAAAAATTCAAATTGCATTTTCTCTATGTTTTCAAGTTTTGAGACGAACTTTTCTGAACTTAGTATTGAAAACTGAGTATATAGAAAATGTTTGACTGATCTCAAACCTAAAAACTGATTTAGCTTACTTCACTTGAACTGACCATCCATAAAGACAGTAGGTCATTTTGCAAACCTATCTAGGTTTTTATATGAATATATTTTGCCATTTCTCTTATTTCATTCGAACCGCCAAACTGTCAGCTTTAACATGACGTATCGTCTTTTTTAATTTTGTTTCCTTACTAAGAAAATTCATTTTTTTGAGATCACAAGCGAAAAAATCGGAATTCTGTCCGTAATTCTTATTTTTCTCCACCAGAACTCATTTTTTATGCAATAAAAATATCATATTCAGAATCATTAAAGTAATATATATTAAAGAAAATTTTCCATAGCAAGTTTTGATAATCTGATTTTTAAGATTATCATTTTTTTTCCTCTTTTTTCTATCTCAACGCGGTATTATGTGTGTGCATTTTTCGAAATGTTTTATTCCCCACAAAGTTATCAAGTGCTCTTTTCTTCATTGTGTTCCTGTCCAATTGCATTATACCATTTATATCATAAAACTGATAAAAGCCACTATGACACGATGTGTAATTAAATTTTTTGAATCAATATTTTTGTTTTACTTCTTACTTGAAAAGTTGTACGCTCTTTGGAATCGCCATGATTTTTGCTGCTTTTTAGGTCCAGTTATACTTCGCACCAATGTCAACAATATATCACCCGTCTCTGTTAAACTACGTAGTTTAAAATATCCACAACCGGAAAAGAGCACAATGACCGATACTGATTCGATTCGTCGTGAAATTGATCGTGCCACTGATGAAATTGATTATTTACGTACTACCTTACATGTAAAAGAAGATGAATTACATAAAGATTCAAAATATTTAAAATTAGCTGATTTAGCTTTAACTAAACAAGATGATGAAATACATTTATTAAACCGTACATTAGAACAACAAAAAGTGGAAATAGAACGTTTAAAAGATGTAGTACAAGATTTGTTAAGTAATGGATCGGAGAATGAACAAAATGTTCTATTAAATGTTAGTGAACAATTACAACGCGTACAAAAAAATATACATGAACAATTAAGTCCAGCATTAATTCGAATTGTTGATAACAGAATACCATATGTACAACAACAAGAAGATTTAAGCGGAGTAAGTTAACAAACTTTTGTGGATGAAAGAGAAAGACATTTAAACTCATCATCTTTGATATTTGAGCATACTTCAGAAAGATAGTGAATGAAATATGTTTTCTTATAGCATCAGTTGAATGGCGGTCAATTAATTCCAATTGATATTACAGAGTGGTTGTGTAACATACCGAGGCATGCTGAATTAGAACAAATTATTGAAGATTTACAAATAAAACTAGATGATTATAGTGAACAATTAAATGAAATGAAAAAAGATAATCGACGTTTAGAGAAAAAAGTAATTAGTCAAGATAAGATAATAAAACGATCGAATAAAATCGAAGCATTAGATTTAGCTAATCAACAATACCGACGATCAAAATCAGCACATATGTCGGATATAGAAACATTACAGGTAGACCATAACAGTGAACAAAAGTCCAAAAAGTTGTGTAGCTTTATATTGCTCTTTTATGAGCCATGTGATGATCTTGAGCAAGCTACCTATGTCCTAGTACCTTGAACCACCCAGCAGCATTACTACGGTATGATGTACAACACAGTTTCTCTGGGTAGTTTTTGTCGCCTTCTGGAAAAAGAAAAAACGATTCTCAAAAAACGTTATTTTCAGAGTATCTCTAGAAAGAAAGATGATAGAGACTTGTAGTTTTTGCCATTCGTAGTCAAAACTTTAAGGCATCTTTTCATAAACAAAATCAAGGACACGCTTGACTTCCGCTTTCAAGAGGATACTTTGGGCTGCCTACACGTGAAAAAAGTTAATATATTGCTATGTTAAACTTTCGGGTTATGAAATGTTTTTCCAGAGACCACTTAGAAAACCGATTTTAGAAAAATAATTTTAGAAAGATTTTGCTTATGAAAAGATGCTTTAAAGTTTTGACTACGAATGGCAAAAACTGCAAGTCTCTATTACCTTTCTTTCTGAAGATACTCTCAAAATAACCGAGAATCGTTTTTTCTTTTTTCGATAAATAGTTCATGTTGCGTATGGATAATTGGGTTAAAGGAAGTATACATCAGATTAGCCTTCTATTCAGATCTGCAGTTGATGACTAGTAACGATATATGAATGACCAGGTCAGAAGCTTATCGCCTATAAGAAAGATATTGGGCTTTTGAAGCTGATGAACTTTGAAGCCTACACCTGTAACGGTAGCCTCAAGACAAAATACTCTTCCTTCCTTCCTTTTTACAGATCACTGAACATTAAGAAAATAGGAGAGTAATGATTATAGAGAACGAACTATCGAAAACATGGTGAATAGTGAAACTTGGTTTGAGGATATCTGCCAGAAGTTGTACAGTTTTTTATTTCTACTGTGAAATATTATTCTAAGAATGTTAATGAATATATATCATTTTCCAGGATGATGCGTTTGTATTAGAACAACAGATAATACGAAAAAGACGTGAAATAACAATGAGTCAGCAACAATTAAAAAATATGACAACATTTTCCCAAACGGTGCGTCATTTTTTCTTTTTCTTTTACTTATTTTGACTATTTATGGCAGATTTTCGTTTTTGTTTAGGTATTACGCGACTTGAAAAATGCCAAACATCGTCATACAATAGCCATACGTGAAACAAAAATACTAGATCAAAAAGCGGAATCACTGACGAGAAAACTTGTTAAATTAACTGGTGATATTAAACAGATGGAGGAATATTATGAAAAAATGAAAAGTGATATTCAGACTACGGGACAGAAGCAAATTACGTTAGATAAGGTAAATTTCATTGCGTTAAACCGAACAACAATTATAAATAAAGTCAAAAAGTCATGAATTTACTGTTTAGAGTGTTGATGAAAAGAAATCATTATCAATTGTTCTCGACGAACAAATTCGTGATTGTTATAATTCATTCAATTCTTTCATACGTACATCGATTCAATCTTTGACGGAATTCTCCATGGATACTGATGATAACAGCAATAATAGTAGCAGTTTCATCAACAATTATCATTCACAACAGTATCCAAATATAGCAGTGATGTCACGTGACGATATTCAACGTTATATCAACCATGCAATAACCGAAAATAATAAAATAATGTTAAAATACCAAAATATGTTACAGCAGCAAAAACAAAAAGCACAACAGTTAAAATCAGATATTAAAGAGAAAGAAGAACAACTACAACAACTGAACAATAATTTAGGTAACTGCGCATCAATGACGTAGGAGGGGAAAAACAAATCATTAAATGTTGCCTTGTTCATCATATGACCGGGCGACTTCATAAGAATAAAGATAGAAATATGACATAAATCTATTAAATTGGGAGCCATAATATCAAAAAAGAATACGTAATACCGCAAAGCTACATGTTCAAGATGTGTCTTGATTATGAGACTACAAAAAATGATTTTTTTGGTATGAGCCTCAAAGTAGAGACGTGCGGCGCCCTTACCCTACAGGGTAGAGGTAAGGCTTAAAAAATTTTCATAGAGTAGGATCAGAGGTGAAAAAAATACAATACAATACTGTGAATTTCTTAGTCTCGCCATCTCATCACTTGTGATATAGCGCTCTTCCTTTTTACCAGTTACATAGAACCCTCCGATCTTGTGAGTTTAGATTCAACAGTCGAACATTTAAGAAAGCATGCTCAAGAATTATTAGAAGATAAACAAATATTAGAAGAATTAGGAAAAGTAAAAGAATTAAAATTAGATAAATTAAATGAATATGAACGTGTATACGATCGAAAAGTGGCACAAGATAAACAATTACAACAAGAAATGGAAAATTTGACAACGGATATACAAAAATTAAAACGACAACAAAAAGATGCACTATTAGATTATGATGGTTTAAGGCATAATATCGAAGCTGATCAGAAAGTTTTAAGCGACATGAGACTGGAAGCACAACGTTTAAAAGAACAAATAAAAGTATTCTTAGATGATAAAGAAACACTCGATGAAACATGTGATCTACTTGGTATGTCAACAAGAAGAGACTAGACCAATAGACTGCTCTAGATTGGGAGGAAATCTTGAGATGAAGTTACATTCCTAATTTCTTAGTAGGCAGACTGTCTGAAAAACTGTGATTTTTCACGTCCGAGTATGTCAGCTCTAATAAGTCGCCTCAAAGTTTATCAAATAGCATACCTCAAACAGTAAGTAAGAAGAACCGCTTGATCGTCTACAACTTTTATACATGGTCTTAGAGACGAGTTCGTCACTACTGACTTGAGTGCCTCTCTAACCGTTAATTTTGTCTTTTTAGCTAAAAAATGTGAAGCATTGCATAATGAATGTAAAGAGAAAGAGAAAGAAATGACCGATTTGAATCGGAATATCGAAGACAAACTGCACATGGCCAAAAGTTTGGAAGATGACATAAACAAGTTTAAACAAGATAAAAAAACGATTTTACAAGTAAATAGCTAATGTACTGTTGAGTGTTTTCTTTTAACGTTTTTTAGACTCGATAAAAAATTGAAAAGGGTTTTTTATTTATCATAAAAAACCGCCCGTTTTTCATTTTGCATCGGCCACGAACGCTATATCGCTTTTGGTTACAGAATTGAGTTTTCGGGGGTTATGAGCAAGTTTTCTAGGAGCCTCGGGAAACCGAGTCTTCAAATAATAGCTTTTTGCTGGATACTTATACAATTAACATTTTTCTGAACATACAGATTTGTAGAACAAAGGTTTCTGATCAAAATAAGACCTCCCACATCTTTGTATGACCTTGCATCAAAAAGTTACAGGCATTTTCCTAGAAGTCCTAAAACTGAGTATTTCATACAGCGTTTTCTCTATATAAGAGTTACACATTACGTGTGACCCAAGGTTTTTAATAGCAGTTTGTCGTAGAGAGTTTGTTCTTTTTTTGTTTAAGAGAGGAAAAGAAACTACATCGTCTGACCGGCGCCGATTTTTGAATTAGGTCTTAGTTTTTTGTCAAATTGAGGATTTTTAGAAAACTCGGAACAATTTTTCGGATTTTGAAGGTTGTTGGTTGCCGGGAAACCAACAAAGACTTAATTAGAAAATCGGCGCAGCTCAGTCCATGTAGTTAGGTGTCTAGTTTAAAATAAAACAAACCCGATCTCTCTAGCCTGAAGTATATTAAAATATCTTGGGACAAACTTCAGGGTCCTTTTTGGATCTTGATCTCTGAAAAACTCCTAAACCGTAAGACTTGGAGACAAAAAAGTTTTTTCATTCCCGTAACTCATTAAACCTAACATTTATGAAAAGTTTCGTCAAGATCGGAAGTACGGTGTAGGAGATAATTTTTGAGGAGGGAGGCTTAAAGCTGATCACCGCTTTGCACATGATATTATACTGATCATCATCGCTTGATTCTTACTTAACTTATCCTCGATCAGTTTAACCGATATCAGTTATTTTCGGTTTTGATTTCTTTCGGGTATGGTTAACCGAACATATCTGGTTCTACCTAATGATAGTCTATAATACTAATAACATCAGACTGGAGATTTCTTGCAGTAAATTGTCGAGGTCTACTTTGAAAAAAAAATTAACCGTGAACCTTCTTCTTATGGTGGTGTTTCCAGTAAAAGCTTATGGTGGTGCTCTCAGTAAAAGATTTTTCGATCGGGTTTGTTTTGTTTTGATCAGAAATGATTGCTCTTCTCTACCTGACCGATATTATTTATGGTACACCCGTTATATGAGAAACATTTCTAAGCTTATAACTTTCGTGCTATATGAGCTAGCGGGGTCAATTAATAATCATTTTGTAGAGCGTGTTTTACTGTATCATTTCTTCATAGAGACAAATTTACAACCACTTGTTTCACTATAGAAAAATTTATTATTCAAATCGTGTCAGGACTTCTGAGCCGCCCTTTATAGTACCATTACACTATCATGCATTTCTTCAAGAGTAAATGGTTATAGTTTTGTAAAAGGATCGTCTTTGTGTACTACGTTCTGTCACATCGTCATGCCTAGACCTATAAAATAGCTCAGAAATTAATTCATATTTATCAAATTTAGTTTCTGAAGTGGCTCTAATAATCAAACCTGGATGATGACTTATTTGATTTTTATATTATAGGAAGTTACGGAAATGAAAGAAAAAGTTGAAAAGAGAAAAGCGGATATTGCTGCTGAACAAATTAGTTTAGCTCGATCACGATCAGCAGATTTTGAATCAGAAAATGAAGGAATAAAACAACGAATTAAAGCCGGTATGTGTCATTATGACTGAAAAGGAAAAAACGTATTTTGATAGAATGTGTAATTTAATGTCATTAATTTATAGGTAAAGAAGAACTAATACGATTAAATATTGATGTCGATGATAGAAATCGAACATTGAATGAATTGAATACGATGATTATGTTTGCCAAAAACATCATGAAGGTAGGTAGCGCATTTGGATGTTTCAGGAGTACCCCTCCCCCCTCCCCTCTTTTTTGCAAAAAACTTTTCATTTTGAGCTGAACATAGTCTAATGTAGAGGAACGTCTGAGCTATAAAATGAGACCACTCCCAGCTCTCTATGACCTTCCTTGAAAAAGTATGAAGTTTTTAAGTTTTTTCTTCAAAGACTAGAAAACCTCAATTTTTTTCTCCTTTCCTATAGATTTAAAAATTTTTCTTGTAAATAGCATGATCGAAGAAAGCATACTCTTCAAAATGAGACGCCTTCCAGAATTTTCCGATGCGTTTTCGTGGAGATATAAGCATCAGACCAAATGCCCTGAAAAACAGAACTCAAGGTACAATGTGAATTTTCTCACTCTGCATTTTTTCGATAGTCCCTTCAATTGGGTCGCATTACGACCCTTTGAAAAAACGGTCTGATCGAGCTTAAATTTCTACCACAGATACTTCAGACCCTATCTCAGGTTCGTTTTTTTTAAGCGTTTTCGATTTCAACTTTCGGCATGAGAAGATTTTTAAAATAAAAAAACATTTTTTGTTATACAAGATTTTTAGTATTTTTCGAATATCTCGAGAAGGAAAGCATATTTTTCGAAAAAAAGGCGAACCTGAGATAGGGTCTAAAGTATCTGTGGTAAAAATTTCACTTCGATTGGACCATTTTTTCGAGGGATCGTAATGTGACCTGATGGAAACTAGAGTTTTCCAGAAAATCGATAGAAGAACATGTAAAAAAATTCTAGGCAAAAAATACATCAATTTTCCTTTTCGATGTTCTATTCTCTGGTATAAATTTCACCCCGATCAAATATCGGCTTCTCAAAAAAGAGTGAGGAGGGAGGTTATCCTTAAATGTAAGCTACTTTAAAAGGTGTGTACGCGCGTTTCTATCTTATAGAATATTGAACCAACTGAAAATAAACTAAATTATCAACCATTTGACAACCAAATATCAAATAATTACAATGTAAACTATAAATCACCACTTCATTCCATTGAACAGTAAGTATGTTATAAGTTGGAGATTTTTAGATTAGGCATATCGCTTCTTACATCACTAAGCAGTTGATTATAGATATTGAAGCAAATTGTATGTCTATTTTCTAACATAGCTTCTACATACTTATTATGAAATTCTGATATATATATATATATATCATATTGCCAAGAATAATTGTGAAGTTAGAGGGCAAACCGAACCATTTATATCTATATACATCGAAGTTTCACCTTTAGATCCGAAGAAACATCCTTTTTTTCTATTTCATTGGGTTAGATCTGCGCACCAACAACAAGAGAAATAAAGTTGTAACTCTTTCTGCATAAGAGAATCTAAGCTTAACCCCTATGAAACTGATATTTTCACAAGTACATCAAAAACATTATCTCAGGAATTAAATCTTTTATACACTTAAGAATTTCACGTTGAATATAATTCATCATTTTCTATGTAACAGAGATCTTTGAATAAAACTTCGACATGATTGTATTGAGCCGAAATATTTGAAAAAGTCGTTGTTTGACATTTAATCACGGGAGGAAAAGCAGCACCCACTATCCATTTCAAAACACAATGAACGATTGCTTTTGAACAGTTCAGGAACGTTGCTAGCTAGCGAGTTCGGGTCTTCGCCGTTGAAACGAGGACATCTGGAGGCATCCAGGTATGTAATAATCATTCGGCTAGCCAAGACCTTTGAGGGATTTCCAGAAGTCTTGTGGAAAGGCTTATAGCTCCTGAACCGAACAAATTAGCGAGTTCGAATCATACATTGCACGATTCTTTTTCCTTTTTTCTTTGATTTGTTTTCTTCTACATAAGACCAAAAGATGGCTGACCGATTTACATTAATAGAAAAGTATACAAAATGTTTTTTGTCTTAATACTTTTTGATTTAATTTCGTTGTAATGGATAGATATCCGAGTAACTGTAGAAAGTGTTGAAATATTTATTCTTTATACCATATTTAGTCGCAGGAAAAGTAAGCTAAGCGTTGGACCAGTCTGATAGACTAAATCGGTATCTTTGGATGCCGAAAGGTGCTATACTAAAAAAAGTGCTGTCCCTCTTGCATTTAATAGTACAATGTAGCATAAAAATATTTTTGGACAAAAATTCCTAATGAACTAGTAGATGCATTCAGTGGAACTTTTCGTAGGATGTAACAAAAAGGACGTGTGCTGATAAACATACGTTGAATAATATTTCACTTTTTGAGAACTTTTAGTAAAATACTTCTACATGTTTAATAAGGGACCACAAGATAAAGAAAATACGTTGAAGTTTCACAGAGAAGAGTCATCGAGATCTGAAGAAATGTCTTATTGCTGCAAAAGCTACTTGACTATAACTCACTGCACAATAAGTCCGAGAAACTGATGTTTGAAGAGAAAGATGCAATCTTCAGCGATATCTGAATTAACCTCATATCGATTTTATCAAAATAATTGTCTGTTATTAATCCGACAGATAATAATACTTTTTTGTTTTAGTCAAGATACAGAATTTATCCAGTCAATTAATTATGATAATAAAATACAACGATTGAATAAAATAATTGATGAAAAAGATGATGAAATTCGAAATTTAAATATGAAATTAATGAAGTAAAAAAATAAAAACAAAAACAAATATCTAAATAAAAACTATATCAAATACTATTTTTTTCTTTAGAACAAAAGATGAGTTATTTCAATTAGAAAATAAACAAAGAACTCAAGAAACAAATTTTGATACAATAAAATCATCAATGCAAATTGAAATGGATAAATTAAAACATTGGTTAGAAATCTATGAAAATCGAAAATTAGCCATAAAACCACATTATAAAGAAGCAATTAATGAATTAGAATTAAAATTACATGAACAAGAAATGTTTTATCGTAAACAAATTAAAGATATTGATTCAGAAATAAAACGAAAAAATTATCGTCCTTATCGTACTCCAGATGATTCTGGGTAAGTTTATACAAAAATTGACATCTACAAATCTCATTCTACTTTGATTATCTTTTAGATTTTTTAGCGATACAACACTATCAGGAGACTATCATTATTTAAAATCATCGACATCGCCAACAGTCGATTATTTTAATTCAAACGATCATTTACGTGATCAAATACAAACAATATTTCGTCAACATGTCGATGAATTAGATAAATGTAATTCAAAATATAAAACAAATTTATCGAATCTCAAAAATCGTTTACATGAACTAGAAAATACTACCACTGAGCCCATCCTAGGTACAACATGTTATTGAGGAGATGTATGGCTAGATATAAAAAACAAAAATTTTTTTATTTTTATTTTTGTATCGTATAAAAAACATAAATTGAGTATCTAATATTAGTAGCATGTGCAATACTAGCACTTAGTCCCATTTACGCTGTTTCTCTAACTCTCAATGATTGATTGAGTGTAATAAACTATGCATAGTGAATCATCAAAGAATGAAACTCTATCTGTGAAACTAAAAAATCTTGTGATAACCTTTTTTCTCAACTTTTAGTGAATCTCTTCATCTAAAGATATTTTTCACTTCATTTTGATTTGATTAGTTTTGTTATATATCAGTCACCTTTTTCCTATATTTTTATCGCCTTTTTTTACTTGTTATTAGATTCAGAATAAAAAGAGCATTTCTAAAACTCAGCATGTTATATATTTACAGTCCAACAGAGGGTGGCTTCCAGGTACGGATGTGAAACAGAGGTTGCTTGATTTTGCAATTTTTCGTGAAAAACTAAAAGAATGTGAAAATATTTGAGTACGTTTATTTGATGAACTACAGAGCTGCATAACGTAGTCTTTATTGTTATACATCAGGGGTGCAACTAGGATTTTTAGACTTTTGGGTCATTTTCTACACAGTTAAAAGAATCAATGGGCCTAGGTGGACCGAACGCTTTCTGCTTGGATCGTAAATTTTTTAGATTGTTGCCATTTCTGATGCTGGCATTTCTGCTGTCTGCCTTCAATAACAAAAAGATCCAAAAATCGACACAAAACATTTTAAGCAATAATGCATAAGTTTTTTGAAGCATACAAAGGACATTCACGTTTTGTGAAAAGTAGTTAGATAGTGAAAATGGCAAAATACTGCTGTTTTTCGCTAGTTTTTCTCATTTTTAAAACTTTCGCCATATCCGCAAGCCTTTTTAGTCTTTCGTCAACGCAGTTTTGCAGAGATTTTCGAGTACTGTCGATTCTAACAAGCATTGTTTGTGTTTGAAGCGTTGTTAGTTAAAAAAATAAAAATAAGAGTGTGATAGCTTCTTTCAAGATAATAATGAAGCATCAGTCAAATTCTTGCTCAACTCGATCAGCTCTATTGTTTTGCAAGCAAAAGTTATTAAAATTGGCGAATATCTCAGAAACAAACCATTTCTGAGATATTCGCCAATTTTTAGACTCTATGCATTACTGCTATGAAAAAATATTGTTCAGCCTACTGTCTTAACAGTAAACTTCATTTTCAACTGAAAAGTAGTGGAACCTATACAGGAGTGGTATAGGCTATCATTCTACATTAAAATCTGGAGAAAGTCGATTCCACTATATGTTGGCTTCTCCTTTCTCATACTGGGGGTCGTATCACGAAAAAATTTAAGTCAAAGCCTAGACTTAAGTCATACTTAACTGTATAAAATTAGCACGTAAGTACACATAACGAAGACTTAAGTCAGGCTTAAGTTTTTTTGTGATACGACCCTCTATTCTAGATCGTGGAACTGAGCGGGACCGTGTCGTATTTTGATACTGTGTTATCAGACAAAATAAAACACTGAAGTTATGAAACTTTATAAGTCTTATACTAAAAAATGTTGATTTGTCCAACAACAGGGTGTCAATAAAACACAAATTTCTTCATTAAAAATTTGTTTTGAGATTTACATTTTTCGAAAAAAATCTATTTTCCTTCAAAAGTTGCTGTATCCGAAAATTGTTCATAATGTGTTCGATAAAGAATTCAATTCCGCATAAAATAAGATTAAATAGATCCTAAGTTTTTGACTGTCTTTCCTCAAGAAAAAACGAATAGACACATGATAATTTACTTGGGATTCGCATCTCGTGTTCACGACAAACTTCATCCAGAATCCGTAATAAAAAAGTGTTGGGTCAGACACTAAAAAATTTTCTGTTGTCCCTCCGGAGTTGCGCCACTGTTATCAATTTTATGCAGATATTGTGACGGAGGTGTCCAAAAGTAAATTTCTATTAAAAAAAAGAATGTAATCCCTATTGACGACGTACGAGTAAACTCAGGGTACTAGTCTATTGTATAGTCATATGAGCATTTAATTCAATCTTCAATAATTTCTGATTTATGTTTTAGATAGGTGTCGCTGTTGGTACTGATTAATTTATGTCCCGATACACATGCAGATCTGAAGAACTATGGTCTGGGACAGTAAAATTTCTATAGAAGACTTATTGTAAAAAGCTTTACTATTGTAAAGAAACATCAGTGCCGAGGAATTACTTGGGTTTTTGCTCATTTGTGAAACTGTCATGTCGAAGAAAAAACTTTACTTTCTTCTCTCTCTAATACATGGCAGCATAGCGCTCGGAAAAAAACAACGAAAGAAAAAGTGACTATAATATTAAGTTTCAAATGTGAGAGTTTTTTCGTTTCGAAGGTTAAAATGATATACGATATATAAAAGTGTTAAAGTAGTGAGAAAATGAAGTGCTTTTTCTTTTTTGGTTTGTTAGAATAAACATCATCTACAACAAAAAAAAGATGATGATGTTTTTATTAGAAATTTTTTATTGTCACAAAGCTCTTGTGAAATGAAGGATGCGCTGATGCCGTTAGTTTCGTGTTTTGTGTGAGTACTCTCAAAAAAAGGTAATGTAGATGTTCTGTTGCAATTTTTCTACTCTAAATAAGATGATAGAAAAGCGGTAGCGATATCACTATCTCACATTTTGAAATTCTTTCGCTTCTACAGCAAAGTTGAGTGCCTGTTTCCATCTTGGTTACAAATAGGGGTGCCATTGAGAAGATTTGTGGTGCATTATTACTATTGCATTATAAACACCATTAAATCTTATTTCGAATATTCTTCAGAATATTGTCAGGATAACATGTTTATAACATGTTAGAACTCGTTACGAACTCAAACAACGTTTTATAACTTCTTTTAGCGTGTTAATATTGCGTGCGCTCGATTTATAATTTTATTTTTTCATGGTACATTTCCTTCTACTCTCATTTATATAAAAAGCCCGTTTTTATGGAAATAGGCTTCATAACCTTTCATCGAAAAACAAAATAATAGACGTCCTCATGCAGACAAATAGAATAATCCAGTTGACATTTGATTTTCTAGTAAGAAGGTATTACAAGAAGAGCACTTCTTTCTTGAGACAACAGATCACTCGAGTTGAACGTCAGATAGTTGAATACGTTGAATGTAGATAGTTTTAGAATTATTTGAGAAGTTGCTGATTGTTCGTTCTATTCAATAGTTCCTACTAGTTATCTCGTTATTCAGAATTTTGTCTTAAACTTAGTTTTCTTTTTAATTGAAGCGAGCGCGGTGAATCCACCGCCATTCTATGGCCACTTTATTATCATCAATGTCGAATGCCGCCTATTTATTATCTCCTAAAAATGATTCATCATCACCTGATTCCCAATTCGTTGATATTCTATTAAATGGTAGTCACGATCAAATTGTTCAGTTTATTAATCGTTGGTGTAAACAACAACGTCGTTCTCGTTTACAAACTATTGTCGATTCTACTCAACATCATGACATATTTTTATCGCTCATTAATACTCTTACTCAAACACAAAATAGTGAATATCAATTAAATTGTTTACAATTATTACTTGAATTAAATATTTTACATCATCAAAATTATGATCAATGTACATATTTACCAGCTATTTTAAAATGTCTTGCATCCCCATCGCCCGATGTCAATCAGTTATGTTTACAAATATTAACAAAAGAAATTCAAACTACACACGATATTTCCAATTATTTACACATTTATATCCAAGATGGACTTCAGTCACAACAAACACGAGTAGTAGTTAAATCGATTCAGTATCTAAAAGATATCATCACGAAAAAATTACAATATGAAAATTTATCACCCATTATTGAATTATTGTTAAAATATTTAAATGAAAACACATTTCGTTTAACCTATGAACATATTCTTGTGGATGCTGTAAAACATATGAAAAATGTGCTCGGAAATGATATGTTTAATACCTATTTAGATACATATTCAAGTACATTGAGAAAAGCTTATTCTGCATATGTACAAGAAGCAAATAATAATAATAATAATGATGAGAATGACGATGACGGAAATGATACGAATTTAGATGATGCAGAGGAGGATGAAACACCAAGAGCAATAGACAACGAGAAATTGTCAGGTAGTATGAGTGTAACTTTGAAATCATAGTCGAAACGAACAGCGTTGTCGACTAGTCTGGATAAAGTTATTCAAAAACTGTTGACTTACTCAGAAATTTTTTAAGAAATTTAACTTGAGAAACTGCCTTTTATGCACCCGAGTAAGTGATTTTCTCTAGTTTCTGACTAACTCATTTATTTGCTGAGAAACTGGCTCTTCGAAATCATATCGAATGACAACACCACTAAGTGACCTTAGAGTCAAAAATTTCTCTGCATATGCCATGATATAGACGTGATAAAATGATGTAATGCTGATGTTCTAACAGATGAACTGAGAAGAAAAGGAACCTATTTATATTATATATATTCAAATCCGGAACGTGCAAAATCGAGAAATGTTAGGATTTATATTGATGAATAGTTAAAAAAACATTAATTAAATTCTATCTCGTTTTCTTTATATTGCTGATGAATCTTGTTTTGAAATAAAATATAATGAATAAACATCAGTCTAAGACTGATGTTTCTTCAGCTAATTGAAAATTAACTTAAAACATGGAGTTACTCAGAAAAGACTTTAGTTACTCAGCAGACTCTCTACCCCCTCCACCAAAACTTCTATCGAAAACGGTGCAAAAGAAGCTATGCATGTTTTAGACACTAGAGTATCGTAGGACTATTCACATCCTTGACACTTTCAATATGTTATGGATAGAAAACTGTATGATTGTATGCCGTATCATATACTTTCTTGTTTTAGTGATAAATGGTTTTAAATCAAATGGTATTCAAAATTCTTTGGCCTATTCGAACAGTGATAGTGATAAAAATCTTTCATCATTGCATAACAAACCATTTATTAACAGTACTAGTATTAATGATGATTTTAGTCAAATTGTTGAATTAATTAAAACAAAATGGTTAAATTCAAATGAAACAATACGTTTACAATATTTAGAAAAATTTAAGTTAGCATACGAAAATCAATTAATAACAATTAAAACACAAGGAATAGCAAATAAAAATGATCAATATTTTCAACAAATGTTTTTAACATTTTTAACAAGTATTTTAGACCTTCTTATGTATATTACATCGATAACATTAGATATATCAATGAAAATAAAAATACATCTTTGTTTATGTTTAATATGGCTCATTAAGAGTTTAATGAATCATTGTAAAACATATTATAAACAATTATGTACAATATTTAAAAATATTCTTTGTAATGGAAATGCAAATAATCGACAACTAGCGGTAAGTCAATTATCATTCATCTAATACAGTGTGTTGAGAATCACAATGTTATAGTTGGCTGTTTGTACGATTTGTAGAGACAGCCATAATAGTGCTTTTTTTTTTCGCTTAATATGCATTTTTTTATACTTCTTTTTTTAGAAATTATCTGTTAGTTTAACAATATTACTAGGAAATTATGTTCATCCACAATTAATCTTAAATGAATTAATCGACAATGATCTATTTGATTCTTATACATTTCGTATTCAATTAGAAATGTTAGCGATTGTCACTGCAACATTACTTAAATATCGTCATCACAAATATGATCAATTATTTTTAATATGTAAACGGTTTATTCCATTGTTAGTAACAAATCGTCGTGAATTAAGACACGGAACAATTGAATGTTTTACAGTTATTTGTTATTACATGAATCAATATCAAAAACTACCGTTAGATGTTGAAACAATTAATTTACAATTGAAATTATTATTTGAAACAATTGAACAATTACCGTTAAATGGATATGAAGCTTCTCTTGCGCTCAAATATCGATTACAACGAAATATTTTGCCAGTATTAACTGATGAAGGAAATATTACGCCAGGTCTCATTTTAAGTGATCAGACAATGGTAAATGATCCAGATGTTAAATTTATTTTGGCTGTTAGCCTTCAACCATCGCCCTCACCAACATTACATCAACAAAAACAAGATGAACCACAACAACCAAGAATAATACAAAATAATAATAATAATAATTCAAAGTTGTTACATTTAGCCATGCCATTGGTCCAAAAAACAAATGAAAAGAATGGTGTGTCGACGAATGAGGTAAACATTTGTTGTTTTTTTATATATTTGACATATAGTCCATTTAGAAGTAATAATTGATGTCACTCTCTACACATTTTTATTTTTGCTCGGAAATTCACTTTTTGAAACCAAAGATGATGCAGAAATCAGTTAAAAATGTTGAGTTCTATTTTTTCCTAGTTGAATGTAAGAAATCCAAATTTTTCCAAAAAACTTTTCTCAAGAAAAATAGGAAAATAAATGTTACAAGATAGTAATGTTTGCCCATTCATCTCATGGTGCGCAGAAAAAAACAATTAGAAGAACTTTCGAGTTTTTCTTCTGACCAACAATTTGTTTTGGTTAGACTTGACTTTCTGCTATAAATTTTTGTTTCTTAAAATCCTAGAAGAATACTCCTGCTTATTTGACTGCAAGAAAAATATTTTATGTTAAAGGTGGTATGTTGAGCCTCGTTATATGCAGTTTGATGTGCTTATCATAAATACTGTATTTTCGTATTAAAAATGTTTCCTGGAAGTCTTCAATTGAAAAATCATAATTTTTAAAAATTTCACACGAAAGTATATAAAAAGACGCACATTTTACTATTTACTATCATTTTGTTACTATGTCAATTGTAAATCATAAGTTGAAGACGTTCGCATGAGTGTTGGAATAATGTTTTTGGATTGTGATATGTAGCGAAGAAACATTGATTGGTGTGTAAATCAACTGTTACTAATGCATTATCACACACTAATTTAAATTTTATTATAGTAGTATTGAACAATACCAACATTTAATCAATATTGCTATACTACGAGCCTTGATACTAAAACTACTAGGTGAATGTCGACATTTTCCATAAATTCTTTTTCGCATTTCTCTCTTGTACATTATACGTCACTGAATATTCTTTAATGCTTAACAATAAAAATACATGTTGCCGAAGTGTTCTTTACATCCATTCATAGTGTACATTAAACAATAAAAAGAATAATGTACAATGTGTTTTGTTTAAAAAAAAGATTTTGACTTCTTGTTTAAACATTGATTGTACTGTGTACTAGTTAATAACGTATCCTTATTATTTTTCGTTCAAATTTTTGATCGAACAACACTTTTAGTTTAATGATAGCTGTTCAGTTGTAACAAAATAAGATGACAGTAAAAAAAGTATTTATTTTATCAGTAAATCACAAGTTTCACTTATTCTGAAACTTATACTGTTTCTGGATGTTCAGAGGGAAGGGTACTGGATGCCTTCTAATTATGAAGGATAGTCAATATTCCTCTAAATATTTTAAAGGTCTCTGCTAATACACCGACTACTTATATGTTTATTTTGATGAAGTTCTACTTTCTATTACAATCCTATTATTCGTAAATCAATATTTGAGATGTCAGATTTTTTTCTACTTTGTTTCAATATATATATACGCAAGTAAAATAACTTTTCTTAGACAGATCATACGTAAGACTTTTTCTTGTCATTGTACTGCACTCAGCTGATGTTATTCACTGCAGCTGAAAAAAACAATTAGAAATGTCTGACTTTTCTTTGTCTTTTTTCTATAAATGGACTGTTTTTTTATCAAAACAAACTTTTTTTTCTTTTTTGTTCTCAGAAAAAAAAAAAAAAAAACCGCCAAGCATATAAAAAAATTCAATAAATGTTAAACGACCCCCGCAAGCCGCACCGCAAGACATTTGCTCTTACATTTTTACTGTCTTGGCGTCTGTTCTATTTACCCATAGGATAAGAATTTAAACTATTATTTGTCTTTCAAGGCATAAAACATATATTTTTCTCTTTGTCGAAATATGAGACTCGCAAATTGCAAAAAACTACATATTAGCCTTATCTAAATAATTTTAAATTCAATTATTTGTATTTATTACTTTACAGTATTCTTGAAAAACTCATAAAGAAGATAAATAGAGGGATAAACATCAAGATACATTAGTTTCTTAATAAAAATTAGTGTTCTATATAAGAAGTAAATAGAAATCAACAGTTAATATTTCTACAAGAGTTAGCCACATTTCTCTTTTCTTATTCATATTCTCTTCACGTTGAAACGGTGAATGATTTTGCAGAAAAAAAAATAACTTTTGGAGAAATAAAATTTATTGAGAACATAATATTTGGTCAATAAAATAGATGAAATAGCCAGTAAAAACATATATAAATGATCAGTATAAATATTGAATGGTCAGTACTAAAATGATCAGTAATTAATTGTAAAATGATCAGTTTATTATATATAATTAGCATTAAAATAATACACATTGATAGAAGAAAAAAAAGTGAATCACACTAATACATTTCAATTTCTATACCTACCCTTTAATATAATTGACTGTTAATAAATTTTATTTACTAATTTTTAAATTTATTAACAAACCTGATTAATTAATAATTGACCATTTAAGTAGCTTATTAATCACTCATTTATTATACTAATCAATCATTTAATTTACTGATTTTATAATTATTTTATCTACTGACCATTTTATCTATTTTACTAACCACCACTTAAATGATAGTCAAATTTATTGAGGAAAATAGCGAGTATTGAATTGAATTACTGCTTTTCCTAACATTTCCATATCCCGTTTACGTAAACCTCAATTTGAACATTTAATAAAATTGATTTTACTTAGATAATGAGGCAACACATACATCAAAAATTTGACATTTTATTCTTCTGTTATAATTATAATGTTTGTATGAAATATTTTTTCCTTCTCTCATTATCATCTGCCGCACGTTATAGGAAATGAGAAAATTTGCTTATTGAATATTATTTTTATACTAAAATATCATCAACATCAAAAAAAAAAGATTATATGAGATAGAATTTTTACTTTTAAAGGAATTAGAATGAAAAGGTGTACAAGTACAACAGAAGAAAAATAATAATGAAACCATGCGATAATATTTTCAAATAGTAATATAGATTTCAAAATTTTTCTTTTTTTTTTTTTTTTTGCTAGAAAAAAACAGCAGAGAATTCGATGACTATCTTCCATGAGATCGTACGTGCAAATTAAAATTAAAACAGAAAAATGTTTTAACAACAGAATAAAAAAAAAGGAAAAATGAGAAAAAACGTTTTGATTGAAATCTCTTTTTTTTATATAACAATGCATGTGTTATTAAATGAACAGTGAAAAGTGAAGAAAAAAAAGTTTTAAAATAAAAAATATTATAAATTCGCGTGTACATCAAATATTTTCTTTGCAAAAGAAAAAATGTCCTTGCCTGACCTAAATAATTGTATCTATGTGTGTGTGAATTTTTAATAAATTAGGACATATTAGTTTTTTTTCTTAACTATCTAAAACATGCTATCGATTATATAATTAAATCTGTATATTTTTATCATGTTGTTTAATAATGAAGATCTATTTTATTGGCATAGACCAACATTGTTGGTAAGTTTTATTAAAATGTGATGAACTGATATCTTGAAAAAAATAAATTGTAATTCATACATATAACATTACATAGTCAGTATGAATTGCTAATGAACGAAAGAACTACTCTAACTTTTCCTAAAGCATATTTGATTAACTATAACTTTTGATATAGATCACGAATCTAATATCTGTTTTGTTCATTAGGACTATCTTCTATGGATCTTCGGAAGTTCTGATTCTATAAATCCATCATCAATTTCTACTTGAAGAAATTCTGATGCAGCCAGTTTATAGAGCATGTTGAGTTCAGGGATCCCAGATCTAAAAGATGGAAATCAGAATACGAATTTTTCTACTACTTCTATTTTATTTCTCTTCGTTTGAATAGTGCATATATTCTCTCATCAGCTCTGATTATTACATTCTTTATTCAGTTTATAAAGAAATAACTACATGAAGTGTAATGAAACAAAATTTGTAAAAGAAGTCAAACATCAAGCACGGAATGCGACGAGAGATGATGTGTGTTATCTTAACACATCAATGCTAAATTGTTGAATTCTGGCTGGGCAAAATTTAATTTTAAATGAATTTGAATTACTACTACAGAATATGTTCATGCATCTGAGATAGACATTCTCAAAAACAATCTGTTGCAGATAACTCTAAAACATACCAGTTGTTCCCATTCTGAGAGATGTTTCTTTCTCTTTAGTTATTCTATGAGTAGAAACAAAGTACACAAAATTTCAGAATTTTTCTCAGTTCTCGAGCGCTCGTATGTACAAAGTACGTCTAAGTTCGCACTGTAATCTATCGAAGAATGAGCAGTTTCTGAGATAAGGATCTATACAAGGAAGACTTATAACGAACTACTGAGATATTATTGTCCAGTGCCTACTACCGGAATAGAAAGCGATATAAATGTGATACGATACATGCGCTATGAGCCAAACTTCAGTTCAAATCCACATAAAATCAGAAAAAAATCCAAAAATCAGAAGATCAGAAACGAGACAGAAAAAAGTTCAAAAATCAGAAATTTTCTGCCAAAATCAGAAGATCTGGAATCCCTGATTGAGTTACCGATGTAACTAATTATTGAGCATTAACGAATTGGCTTTTATTGAAATATGAAACTTTTACTGTTTACTCTACTGAGAATACTAAAAACCCTCAGTTTTTATACTAATAAGAGTATCATATTTCAATAAAAGCCAATTCGTTAATGCTCAATAATTAGCTACAATGGCAACTCAGCAAGCTTTACAAACTGGCTGCATCAGAATTTCTTCAAGTAGAAGTTGATGATGGGGTTGTAGAAAAACCGGGCTTCTAGAGATCCATAGATAGCCCTAATGAACAAAGCAGATATTAGATTCGTAATCTACATCAGACCTCAAGAAGAAAAAAGGTGGGCACATGAGATAATTTCCTCGTAAGAAAGTACGGACGAATGCTACCGAAAAAATCATCATTTTATATCAGAATATCTAAACTATCATTTACTCTTAATATCAATCTAGTACGTTCAAATAGAAAACTAATTCATTTCTCAAGCTTTTCCCTTTTTAAAACGAAAAATAAACACTGTTTTGCTATTTGATCGTTTTCTCACTGTCAAAGACTAATTTTCTGTAGGAATTGCACTCTGCATGTTGTAATGAAGAGCGTTGGTCTAGTCTAGATTACTATATTATTGATGCGTGCATATTTGTTTTCTCTATACAAATATTTAGTCAGCTTGTTTATTTTCTACTACTAGACGTGCATTTAAAATTGATGCATTACGTTTCTATCATTTCAAGTGTAAAATATAATAGAATTATTTTATTAACTGAGATATTTGATCTGTCTGTACAAATTTTGTTAATAAAGAAGATTAATATTCTCAATTTTACTGAATTGTAGACATGCTATAAGACAGAAGAACATTGTTTATCTAGTTTTGAAAAGTGTTATGTTGAACTGTCTATGAAAATATTATTGAAATAAATTAAGAACTTGATGAACATATTTTTTCTAATAATAAATGCACTTTAAAAAAGAAAATAATAACCATAATAATTTAATATTCTATATCGGTACGATAAACAAACTCTTATTACTTGACATGAAAACAGTACAGTAGATCGAGCGTTGTAGATAAATCAATAAAAGCCTGTGTTCTTAATTCTTACTGTGTATGCCACTCACATTAAACAGAAATAGAGATGTGTACAGTGTGAAGGCTAGTGCTCAGTAAATAGCTACCCTGCACATCTCTAGTTAGAAGTTGAATATTTGAGAAAAATTTATTTTTGCTGTTATTTTGTCTAGAAGTTTATAGGTGCCGATAAAACAGGTGTTTTATTTCACCTCCTGTATTCTCCGTGAATCACAGGTGCTACAATACATCTGAGAATAGATTTGTATGGCGTCTACATAGATATATATATATACGTACAACATCAATCTGAGACAATTCCATTTCTTTCTAATATTTTTGCGACTTTTGCGTTGGGTTTTTGAGATCTTGGATTTCTGAAAAACTTTTTTTCTGGGATAATTAAAGTTAAAATGTGTTATCTATGTATATTTATCTATGTCAACGTCATACAAATCTATCCTCAGATATATTGTAGTAATTGTAGTTCACGAGGAAAAAGTAAACCAGAAAGTTAGAGAAAAACGAAACACTTACAGTGAAAACGAGCAAAAATGACATGCCTTCAATATTTTGGTTATAGGGGAAAAATCAAAGCATATACACCAGAAAGTGGAACGATTCTAACATTGAAACAGCAGATGGAAAAACTCAAATGTCAAAGTATATAGAAAATTTTCTTTAGTGACCGAGTAATCTCGACATCCAATGCATATTTAAACATAATAATATCACTTCTTCTTTTCTCGTGCAGCTCATCAGCTAAGAACTAGACACAGACAGGTTCACCTTTAATCTTAGTACTAACTTTTCATATGTATGGACGCTTCCTTAGCTAAAAGGTATTATTGCTAAGGCTGCATCATCCGAGGCTTGATTTGATGTTGGGAAAACGATGATGTTGTTAGTTGTTAAGAAGTCATTTTGTGGTAATGTCCAAATTTTGTGTTGTGAAAATGTTGATATACGAGTTAAAACAAGTAAACAACTAAAAAATAGAGTTAAATTATTTTATAAGATCTTTAATCAGCTGTTTCTGTACGTAGTCTAAAGCAAGAGTGTTGTTCAATGGTTTTTAACTATAATAGATTAAGAGGAAACGTTAGATATCTATCTCATAGATAGGTTCCTCTTGCCAATGGTCATTGAAAAATGACTGACTTTTTTTTCTACTTTAATCTTTTTAAAAAGTCGTGTTTGTGATCATGTTGAATATTTTTCATCTTGTTTCATTTAGGTGATGAGAAGTCGGGAGATACCTCCTTTACGTCCACCAGATGTCGACACTTTTACTAATCATCATCATTTCGATGCAAATCGTAAGTGTAATTTTGTTTTATTTTTGTTTCTAGTTGTATGCAATACTTATTGTAAATGAAATGTTGGTAAAAAGGTGTGTTAGTCACCATATTTTTTCTTTTGCGTCTATCCATCTTCAGAAGTTTTACCTACTTCTTATCGATTGAAATTACACAATTTATCAAATTTTGGTGAACGTTTGACATCTAATATGAAAAAACAGCATCATCAACAACAACAGCAGCACCACCGTGTTTACGGTATGGAATAGCAGCAAATAGTTGAACGGGAGAGAAAACATTTATTAATTGTTGTCTGCTTATCAGCTATTCTTCGCTTACGCTTGAAAACTTTTGTGTTTGTTTTTGTAGTAAAAAACAAAACAAAATCATTTCTCCTTAACATTAATCATGATAGTTTTAATCATTTTGGTTGTATCATGCTGTGCTTTGTCAGTAACTATACAGAGTTACTCTTGGTTGTCTTCTACGAAAAGAAATGGGCGATAAACAGTAAAAGACAGAAAAAAAATACAGTTTTCATTCTTTTACTTTAAGGTCATTCTGTCTCAAGTTAAAATAATTCATTATTTTTGTTGCACTTTTAGTTGATTATTAACTTAACTTGAAAAAAATGAACTATTTAAATCGTGTAGACTAAGAAAAAAGATGAGAAAAAAAGAATATAAGTGTTGTTGCATTAACTAATTGTAAGAGATAAAAATAGGAACAAATTATCCTAATAAAACAGACATGTATTTTTCAGTTGTTTTTTTAAAGAATCAGTAACGCTATCGAGAACTTTTAGTTTTTGCAAACTATGCACGATAGACCATACTTCTTCAAACAGCATTTGACCGTAACCTTAACTTTAACCCTTTACTCTCTAAAAAAAAACGATACATTACCGTACTTTTTTCTGCTGGAAAAATGAAATGATATATAGATGGTGACAAATGTTTAAACCTTTTTTACAACGAAAACTTCAAAAAGGTTTCGTAGCGAGTAAGGAACCTTAAAAAGGTTTCGTATTTGAAAGAAGGTTTTGTACTGAACTACGGAACGATGCATGGTATCGCACAAACTCTGAAATCATTCAGTAAAAGATCTCAAGCGTTTGGTATGAAACCTTTCCAAGCGTACCAAACTCAAAATCTACTAAACGCTTGAGATCTTTTACTGAATGATTTCAGAGTTTGTGCGATACCACGCATGTAGTTCAGTACAAAACCTTCTTTCAAGTACGAAACCTTTTTAGGGTTCTTTACTCACTAGTAAGGAAGTAATAGGTAGTAAAAAGGATCTAAGGTTTAAACATTTGTCGCCATCCATATACCTTTTTATTTTTCTAGCAGAAAAAAGTTCGGTAATGTACCTTTTTTTTAGAGAGTACGATCGACAATTAAAAAATACCGCGAAAAATACTACCATATACCAACATTCGATTAGAAAGGGTTAAACACTCCAGTAAAAAACAAATCTAGAGATTTCTGTCACGTTTTAGAATTCTACTGATTATTCAAATTAATTTGGGAAAAAAGATTTTCTAAAAAGAAACATAGATATTTATTTGCTATTATATTTTCCTATATTCTTTCTAAAAATCATCTCATACTCAATTGCCAAGTAAATTAATGTCTGAAGTTGCTTAAACATCAAAAAAGTTATTATTATTTTATTGATGAAAACAAATGATCTTTTTTTTATAAAAAAACTATTTATAAAAAACTAAAAAAAGAAAAATTAAACTTGAAACTAATGGAAAACAACACTAAATTTTTGTTTATAATAGAATATTTTACTCTTTCTATTTAATTTCAGAGGGAAAAACATGAATATTTTATATTTTGTATATTTATGGAAGCAGAAAATATTTCTTTGAAAACTTATCTGCTAACAAGAGAGCGAGCAATGTATAAAAACAGAATGTGTTGCCTTCATCATAAGAGACAATAACAGCGTTTTATATCCACTCTTTTTATTCAAAATGAAAAAAAGAAAAAAGTAATTTTTTGTTTTAATTGACTACGTCTTTACGTACTTTTATATCAGCATGACAGCAGCACCCAACAGAATCTCATTTTTCTTTTTAAATTTCATCACTTGTACCGTGTAAAGAGTGAGTATATTTAAGAAAAATATTTGAATACATTTTTTATCTGTTTTAAACAACGTCTAAATATTTAGATTTGTAATATTTTGATTTATGTACTATGCATTTTTTTGTATGACAGATAGCCGCGTTTGAGAATTAAATAATAATCTTTTCAATTTCTGTGACACTTCGATATAAAGTGATATTGAAAAAAACAATGCAACTAAGATAATGTATCAATGAAGAATTATTGTCGACAGACGTCTTATCGTTTAAACGAGTCAGTTAATTTAACAATGACAGAAACTATCATATAGATTGCTTTACCTTTTCTAGCAAAAAAGCAAGAAGAATCATGAATTTTTGTATTATAATATACCATAATGAGTCTAAACTTATACTGATACCATTAAGGCTCTCCCTCCATCCAAAAAATATTTTTTCTAAAATCTATACATCATTCGATAGTCCCAAGTATCAGCTTTTGAATGCGCTATAGTTTTTAGTCTTAACGATGGATTTTGATGATTTTTTAGAGGTTTTTCCCAATGGACCGTGCACAAAAAATTGGTTTTTCTTGTAAAAATCTGCTTATACAGATAAATTAACAGTCGATGACTGTGTCGGAGAGTAGAACACACATGTCTTTACACATGTTCATTCGATTCAACGTAGTCTACAACCTATAGTTTTGCTTCTTCCTTGACATCATCTCTTTTAAGAAATAGGTCGGCATTTCCCAGATTTCTCTGCCATCTTAAGTGTCAAAGTTCCCGGATGTAGCCAAGAGTTGATACTACAATTTACCAAACGCATGTTTCTGATTTCCCGCTTAGTTTCTGAGAAAAATTAAAAGTTTCTGAAAATTTCAGAAAAACTCAGCTTGCTGAAAATAAAAAACTAGTTAGATTTTGGAACTAGTTTTAAAGAGTTTTCGAATTTCGAAAATTTTTTATTTTTCTGAGAAACTAAGCAGAAAATCAGAAACTTTCCTCTGTTAAATTGTAGTATCACCTCTTGGCTACATTTTAAGATCAACCCGAGAACTTTGACACTTAAGATGGCGGAGAAATCTGGGAAATACCGACACCTACTTTTTGGCCATCTTTTATGGATAATTCTGGAAAAATACGAGATACCAAGCGGAAAATTTTGCTGTAATCCAATCGTGATATGAGTAACATTTGCTAAAAATTTCATCGAGATCGGACATTCCATATTGAAAATAGATTTCTGAGGGGAGAGAGGGAGACTTAAAACAGAAAATTTTACACATATCCATCTTACTTGTCCTTTTCCAGAAGAACTTTGTTAGTATTAAAGAAGTGTTATGATAGATATGTTTTCTCTAATCGTTTGCTACTTTTCTCATCATCTGTGGGTATCGCGTGTATTTCATTAAAAAGAATTTCTGTTGTTTTGTAATAAGCATTTGTTTTATTTACTTTTTATAGACTTTTCTATGCTTTCTCAATTTTACGTACATCTTATGTGTGTGTATATGTATATAATTTTCTCCTCTATTTCTGACCATTTAACCTAACAAAAAATTGATTTCATTCTAATTTATTAGCACTCAACTTTACAACAACAAATAATACAACAACCAATTCACATAGACCAATAATATGCAATGAAAAAATTATTACAGATGAATGGGCTAAAAAATTATCATCAACAAAAGATACCACAATAATAACTCCTCAAGGTATGATGACCGAATAGTTGTTTTCAGAACATATGAATTTTGAAATAATTCGAAAAGAATGAATTATAACTGCGGTAAGTAAAGAGAAGACGGAGGGGAGAGAAATAAGCGATAAACAATAGAAACAGTGTATATCATTAATCTTATTAGACGGAACAAAAATCGTGTTTATTCTAACTGTAAACTTCAATATTTAAAGGTGATAGAGTCTAGTCTGTTTTTGCATATTAAATAATACGCTTGATTGTCTTATTCAAATGAAACCTCTTACCGTTTGTTATTCATTTCTACCAGAGTTTATTATTATTAATATTATTATTATTATTATTATTGTTTTACTCTTGTTGCGTGCCTGCATCATTCAAAGAGGCAAAAAAAAAATCAGACTCATCCGTGACATGTTCACTCGCAGTATATTTTTGTCTAACCTGTGGAAAAAAAGTGACTTTTTTTCCGCATCAACCAGATACTAATTTTTTAACCCTTTACCACCACCACCCCCCACCCCCCTTGGTCACTGGAGTGACTATTTGTAGATCGATGGCAAAAAATTAAGAAAGCATGGAATTTAAAAACTTTGGGAAAATGTCTGGTAGCGAACTCTATAAGCTATCGATTGGTAAAAGAAATATTTTGTTACATTGTTTTGTCTCCGAAAAAGATGAATTACAAATGAATAGGAAATGACTTGAAAAAGTCCCATTTTGGGCTTTCGTAAATTTGATATAGTTCGACCAAAAAACGTCGCAGAGAGTTCGGGACATCTCATTTTGTAGAGAATTGTTTGCTCTATCATTCTGCGTAGTTTGAAAAACTTTTATTCGCATGTTCTAGGTGCCGGAAAACTAGGATTTTGGTTTTCTAGAAAACTCTATTATTGGGAATCCAGTGATGATTTTTATTTTCGCAGATCCTAGTTAGCAACAATTTTCCCTACTCAAGCCACTATTTGAATTCTTTTTAGTGTTTATGGTTGCGGAAAAAACACCCAATTGATCAGTTTTTGTAACCACTGTAGATTTCCAGCATCTATAACCTGCAAATAAACTACATAGAATGATAGAGCAAACAATTGAGAGGAGACACCAGTACTTGTTTCATCAGTGGCTCTTCTGGAATCGCTGTGTGAGGGAGGAGGGGGGTAAAAGGTTAAATTGAAAAAATTTATATTTATACTTACTAACTTTTCCTTTTCCATAGTTTAGTATGATATAAATAATGGTTATAATAATCTCAATAGACGCAAAACAGCGTCTCGATTTTTGGACAGAAGAAAAAGAAAAAAAATAAGAAAGAAAGAACGAATGAGTGTTTATAATTAAAATTTAAAAAGAAAAAGAAAAAAGCCCACGAAAACTTAGAAATTGTTCAACATTTGTACGTGGGTTGTTGTTCGTTAATAATTCCACAAATTCATCTTTCTAAAATTGCCTTGTATATACTGTAAAATGAATAAAATATGGATATAGACTTTTTTTCTAAGTTTGATATTTTTTCTGTTTCTTACAAACCCGAATAACATACGTTTGATAAATATATTTTTTGTGTTCAACAAGTGTAAAACATTTCTTTTAGAAAATACGCTACAATTTCGACCGGTAATACCACGACGAAATTCAAGTACATCATCTTCTCGACTACATTCAAATCTACTAACAACTATAAGTACCAACACGCAACCGTTTAACACAAATAACCACAATCATACCGATCTAATAAATAAACGTACTCATTACGATTTAGATCTTGATAATGATGAAGGAACCGATAGTGCGATTGAATCAAGATCATTATCTATAAATACATCAGACGAGGGACTATCACAAGAGGTGCATATAAACGATTGAAAATTATTTTTTTAATTATTATTTTTCATTATTATCATTTTTGTTTTTTTTTAATATGTTTTTTCTCTTTTTTTAGCAAGATTCTAATAATCCGTTAAAAAAACCCATACGTTCTCTTCACAGTAGTTCAACAAGACGAAAAGCTGATAAAATATTTAGTGATTTTGAATCAATATCAACAAGAACATTAACACCTGAAAATAGTAACGAAAGTGGAGTTTATTCACAATATTCATCTGGACGAGAATTAGACAATACATATCAGAATAATTCTAATAATCATAATAATGAAAATATAGATGATGCAATTATAAGGTACAGATACGAATTATAAATATTTACAGAATATTATATATAAATCTTCTTTTTTTCATATAGATCAAATCGTACAATAGTCAAAGATCAATTATTTTCAACAAAACCTCGTCTAGCTCGTTCCGGTTTAAAAAATAAACAACAACTACTTACGGATCTTTCATCATCAAAACAACTAGATTATAATCCTACATTTCGATCACCACCATCAAGTACAAATGTTGAAATTGTTGGTAAAGGCTATATGGATGATCGACCAAGAAGATTGTCAGCAGACACTGACGAAAAACCATTGATTAATAAAAATCGTGCAAAAATAATCAAAGGTATATACATAGACACATGTACACGCAAGAAAAGAAACGTTAATATTTTGATATATATATTTCTTTTCTTTTAATGTATTGTTAAGGATCTGTAATTACGACGCCTTTGGGTGTAGCATCCCATACAAATGTTGGTAGTGAAGATACCATTGGTGATGATGGACAAGAAATTGGTGTTATTGGAAAAGGTAAAATAAAAATTTCTTTTTTCTTTATTTTAATCCAATAAGTGTATGATTGAATTTTGTTAAGCGGTTTATCTTCCAATGCGAACAAACCGTGCAGACTCTGATCCATCAAAAATAATAAACTATTCACAACAACAAAAATTATCTAAACGAAACGATAGTGAAATATTTTCCGATTTTGATAGTGATACAAAAGAAAACGAAAGTGTAAGTATCTTAAATTGTATTAGAAAAAGAATTCAAAAGAAAGTTTTATTAAAGTAAAACAATTTTCTATCTGTTTCACCTATCAATAAAAAAGTCATAACTCGCTCAGAATACACCTAAACGACTTGAAAATTTCGGAATATAATCGATGTTTGATATCCGGTATGATTATACAATATACTATTATCATCTAATTGAGACATTCTTTGGATTACCAGATATTTGGGCGCGCGACACTTGAGTGCCGACATGTGGGCGCATGTACCACAAAAGCATTCAGTAAGAGTGCATTTGTTAAAGTATGATGCATAACGATAACATTTTCTTTAAACAAACTTAGTACGGTGTGAGAGTTTTTTCTATATTACTCATATCCAACTATAATCACTTTTTGTTTAATCTTCATCGATACTCATCCTCACCCACACCCGCACCGCGCCTTTGAATCTCAACTGTCGTTGGGCCCAAATGTCAGCATACCCATTCTTTGTTTTGTGATTTTATGGAAAACTCTTTTTTCGGAGAATCAGTCATTTTTAAGAAAACTGTGCTAAGTTTTCTAAACAGGAAATTATAGAAAAGATCAAATTGATTATATCGTGAGATTTTCAAGTTATTTCAGTCTATTCTGAGTGAGTTATGACCTTTTATTGTTAGATGAAACATCAAAAATTCTTTACTTTAGTAAAACTTGCTTTTCACTGGATTTTTGAATAAACGTTGTCATTAGATAAAGGGTGATGGATTAAATATGTAACACGCATTTTTAAGGTTATCTGGAGTCAGGGTTATGAAATTAGGACTCTTAGGAAATTTGTTGAGCCGCCTAGTCTACTATAAAATTCAAGAACTAAAAAAAGTTCTTAAGGTTAAGTTTAAGTTGACTTTCGTTCTGAAAAGGACACCCAAAATAGATTTTTCTAATGCGTACTTTATGACAGTATAGTCTCAGGTTTCCTCTGCAATATGTAGGTGTTTTTTCGATTTTGAAACAAAACATGCACATCCGTTGTATCATGAAATAGATAGTACTGAATATGATGAAAATAATGATAATATTATTTTAAAGCTGGTTGATCTTGGTCATTCATTATCAGCATCATTTCGTTTACGTGTTCAACAAAAAACTCAAGAAAAAATTGAACAAAAAGAACGACGTCGTCAAGAACGTGAAATTAAACGTCGTCAAGAATATTTTCAACCAAAATCGAATTTGACAAATAATTCAAATCAAGCAATGTATGATGATCAACAACAACCACCAACATCATCCACATGCACAAGTCGTTACTCATCAAATCCTGATTTATCATCAATAACAACAAATAGTGATTTACCTCCAACACCGAGACGAATGATTATCAATGATAGTAATAATAATGTTCTACCGAATGTTGCTTCTCAAAAACTAAAAATTTATAAAAATTCGTGAGTGTATTATTTAAATTAAATATATTTTGATTCTAATATAATAGACAAATATTAATTCTAGTATGGCAAGATCACAAACATTTAATAATCGACGTGATTTATCTACAACTGAACAACGACTCACATTCAATAGACCATTGTCAGAAGATCGTGTTACAGAACAATTAAGAAATCCAGAAGCTGTTTACAGAGAAGCCATGGAATCAATTGCATCCGATGATTGGTAAATCGAAAAAATAAAGAAGCTCAATTGAAAAATATTGAATAGTTATCGTCTTTTTTATTTTTTTAGGGAAAGAAAATGTTCAGGTTTAGGTCTATTACAACGTTTAGTTGCGCAATATCCAGATTTAATAACACAAAATATTCATCAAGTTGTTCTTGTTTTAATCCAAGAAGTAAGAAGAAATTTTAATTTTTAATAGCTATATGATTTCTTTTTAGTTAGAATATTCAATTTTAGGTAAAAAATCTTCGATCTCAAGTAGCTCGTTTTGCAATATCAACATTTTCTGATATGTTTAAACATTTAAAACGAAATATGGATCTTGAACTAGATTTAACTGTAAAAGCATTATTACAGAAGAATGGTGAAACTGTTGACTTTTTTCGGTAAAAAATTAATAATAATATAACTAGTTATCTTCAACAAAATATTTCTTTATTCAGATCAGATACAGAAAAATGTTTACAAACAATGATTGATAATGTAACAACTCAAAAAGCATTACAAGCATTGATTGCTGGTGGTGCTAGGTATTATTCCTTTATTCTTATTATTATTATTATTACATATGACTATTTTGTTTTTATTTGTTTTTTCAAATATTAGTCATCGTAATCCTGCTGTTCGCAAAGCATCAGCACAATACATCTATATTGTGTGTGAAAAAATGGGTCCGGGTAAAATTCTTAGTGGAATTAAAGATATAACAGAACGTGTATTACAAGTCGCAGCACAATTTGTATCCGATGGACCACCAGAAATAAGGTAAAATATAAAAATATATTTTTTTATAACTGATAATTAAAATCATTTTGTTATTGGTCATTGTAGATGGTATGGTAAAAAAATTTATCAAATGTTAATGTCGTATGATGAATTAGATAATATGATGCAACGATATTTAAATCCTACAACATATAAACACATGAGAGAAGTATTAGATGCAATAAGAGTCAAAGTAAGAAAAGTCATGGTAGATCATGTACGAAATAATCGATTTCTCTTGATTTATTTAGGGTGTTGGCGAAACGCCCAGTGAATCAGCTCGTAATAATGGTAGACGAGCATTACCAACAGATAAAAGTGGTTCAACCGGGTATGAAATGAATAATGATTATTTATTTATTTTTAAATGAATTGATTGTTTAGAAATTTAACATCAAATCAATTTCCATCTATTCGAAAAATGAATAGTGCTGATCAAGCAGAGCAAATAAGAAATATTGTTAAACAAATGCGTAGTACAGATTTTCGTCAACGAATGGAGGGTATTGAACAGTTTCAAAAATTGTGTGAATTAGAAACAGATACAGCTATAAGCTCTCTTGTACAGGTTAGTATTTTTTACTGCATATCCCTACTCATTTGTATCAGAATCAATTATGTTTCAGATATTTGATGCTTTCAATGATTGTTTGTCTGATATGAATTCAAAAGTAACACTAAAGTCGTTGAATACCATGCATCAAATGGTCCCAATATTAGGTGATTCACTATCGAACGTAATTAATTCAACACTGCCAATTATAGCACAAAATATTGCGTCAAAAAATAATGAAATATCACAGTTAGCATCGGATATTATCGATGCAGCTATTGAATATATTGGTCAGTATTCTTTTACATCTAGAATCAAGTGATTGCCATTTTTTTCTTTTATCTTGTAGATAGTGGGGTTTTACTGCAACCATTGTGTGCACTTAGTCAAACGAGTAATCTACGTGTTAGGCCTGAAATTGTGCTCAAATTAGCTTGTAAGACTCTATATTGAGTAATCTAAATCAGATAACAATAACGTATTGAGTATTTTAGCTATCGTTCCAAAAGTATGCCAACGACGTCAAAAACAAGTAGAAATTCATTTATTACCAACATATTGGAAATTATTAGCATTATTACGTGGACAAAGTTCTTCAACATTAAATAACGCTAATACAACAATGACAACATCATCCGCTGGCGTTGGTAATTTAAATTCATCTATTCATATTCTAACGACAGCATTGTACACTGAACTCGGCTCAGTATTAATTGAAAAAGCTAACGCATCATCAGCTGTTGCACCAAAAAATGTTCAATTATTAAGAGAATTATGTACGAATATTGATGCCGTATAACGATTATTCTTTATTTTGTTTTTATAATTATTTTTTCTCCATAAAGTGTTATGCATATACATACCATACCGTACAGCTCAAATTTCTTAGTCTGAAATATTCGTTAATTCAGGCGCATTACCATTGACTTGAAACAAAATTATTCTTTATTCTCAATTATTCTATATTTACATAACTGACAACCGGCGGTTCATCTGATATGAATCTCTAAAGACTCTCACATGAAGTCTAACGTTCAGCTCATTCAAAATTGAAATTAGTTCTTATCATCACTAGTCTGATGGTATTTGTCGTCGAACTATATTTTGAAATTGCAAGTTATTGCTTTTACTTGATGGCTATGAATCTGTAGTGTCAATGAGTTGGTCTATTTTCTTTTTTCTTTTTGCTGTATGTATATCTTTCAAGAGTTGTGATTCTTTTTTTTACTTCTCTATCCTCGATCTGTTCAGATCTAGACTTGTTTTGGTTTTTTCCTTAATTGTTCCATTCATCTGTCGGTTCCCTCTCTTCTTCCACACACTTCTGTATATTTTTCATACACAATATACTTAAAACTATCTTCACATTTTTCACGATATATGCTCAACCAGTTTATATAGGCGAGACTATAACAGTGCGCGCGTGTTCAAAACAGTGACATTCATTATGGGCGTTTGCTCGGAGTTTTGGAACTCTTACTACAATAAGAACATTCTCTATATCTTCTGTGATTTATGTTTGTTTTTTTCGTATTATGTTTTTATTTTACTATACTATATACATCCGTGTGTGTGTGTGCGTGTGTGTGTATTTTCTCATGAGCTCGCGCGTGCTTTTTCTTGTTTGCAGTGGCATTTCGCTAATGTAAATGATAGTGGGATAATGATATGAACAAGAGAAAATATGGTCTTCATTTTCTTTATTGTAACGAACTTTTTATTTGATATCTTATAAGAAATCTATACAGCATCAAAATAAAGTTTGAATGAATACAGAAATAGTGTGTACGCTTTGTATAGTAACATCTAATTGTCAACCAGGAATGTTGGGATCTTAAGCTTTTTGAGTCATCTCAATGACCCCTAAAACTTTCGTTTCTTACACTCTTATTTTTCTTATGCATAGCATCCGTCGGATTTATTAGTAAAGTAGAAAACAAATAGATTTAAAAGAACATCACAGCCCATATTGCCGAAACCGGACAAAAATTGGCGATTAACCACGATTATTTTAAGAACCGACGGTTAACCTCGGTTATTTCAGCCGAAACCATAGCAACACAGCAGAAAAACCGACGGTTAACCTCACAATTAAAAAACGATCGGTTAGCAGCGGTTAACCTACCATTTTTCCGGTTAATTGTGAGGTTAACCGTCAGTTTTTCTACTGTGTTGCTATGGTTTCAGCTGAAATAACCGTGGTTAACTGCCGGTTTCGACAACATGGGAGGGTATTCACGAATGCTACAAGTCTTTTATTATACCTTTGCGTAAATAAAATTCATTCGTCATTGAAGCCGTACAAATGAAAGGTGATCTATGTACATGCAGCTGTCTTCCCTCTCGATCAACTTTGTTTATGCAAGACTGATGTTTTCGACTTATATTTTATCTTTGTTTATTTAATTCCACTCAATCTTTCCATTTTTACTCGATGACAACTAAATGACCTGGTTTGTCTACTTACCTGTATTCGTCTTATTTACTCTGCTTATTTTTGAACTAGTAATTTTTTAAACTCTTTTCTCTATAACGAAATATCTATGTATTAGTAATTTTATAAATATTGAGTAAAGTTTATTCGTGTACTCAAAAATCGAATTGTTATTTCTTTGTACTATCAATATTCTTTTGTTTTTTGAACAATATGCATTATGGCATTTAGAATATACTTTTCCTTCTATTCCGGTTTTTCGATGAAAATGATACAAAATGAGCTTTCTGTAGAGTTTTCTAATAGTTTTATGTAAAAATACGATGATCCTTTTCTAACTTTTCTGACTAGATTTTCATTCAAACTGTGTGTGAATGAATGTTTTAGAAGCTATTTGTAGCTATTCAATATTTTGCACTGGAGAAATAATATTAGTGATCAGTGAATAAACGCGGAGAATAGATATAAAAACAATAAATAAATAAATAAAACAAAAAAATGATAAGTTTAATTTAGAAAACTTAGCCTATTTTGGCTCCTAACTTTGCCTAACTTTGGCTCCTATTTTTTTCACATTAACAGCATTCTCGAATATTAAAACTAAACCTCAACAATCGAATCAAATTTGTAGTAGTTATTTGACTAAAAAATTGTTACATATAGATTCATCAGTAATAAAACAAACAACAACATCAGTATAACATTTATTTAAATTGTTTTCTCTTATTATTTGATCACTCGACATTCATTCTATTATTTAGCTCTATCGTGACAACCATCAACCAAATCTTATTGAAATAAACACAAGGCAAAACATAATGATGCACGATCATTTGATCCAACTTAATCAACACTATCACCACACAATTACCAGTGTATGTATATTAGAGCTTCTAGTTGACTAACTGGAGAGACAAATACAATGAAATAAGTATATATCTTGAAATTATAGTCCAACTATTCCACTTTGTCATATCGTCTCAAAAATACATTTACTTTATTGATTGTAAGTTCAATCGTGTGCATTATTTAAATATATGAATGGATGAGAATCGAATGCAGCATTTTATATCTAGAGTAACGAATTCAGTACTTGGATACGATGATCCTATCTCCAAAGTTTGCATCACAGTACCTAATGACGTGTTTAGTTAGAAGAGAATGGATTAACAATAGAATAAAAAATCTGTAAAATAAGTCACACATATTATTATTTAAGGTTTGTAAGAGAGATACCTAATGGCGACAATGAATTTTTTAAGGCTTGAGGTTTATTCTGCCGGAAAATCTTATTATATATGTCAAAATTTTTCATCATTTCACCAATTTTTTTTCCTGAAAAATGAAAGTAGAAAAATACAAGAAACTAATATAAAAAAAGACAAAAAAAAACAGAGAAGCATGATAGGCTAAAAAGTTAGAACGATTAATGTAAGATTATTTGGTAAAAAATACAACTATTTTCTGTTTGACCATAAAATTTATCTGAACGAACATAAATACTGACGTAAAGAATCCGCTTTAATGATACAAAAATAATAAAGAACCATATCTAATTATTAATATTCATTTCCCGTATAATGATGTTAGCTGCATCGGATCGACCCATTTGATTTAATAAATTAATTATATCCGTTAATGGATCTTGACTATGACGAGCATCCCATAACGTCAACAAATGTTCAGTAGGACTGGGTTTAGTGGCAAAATATTGTAAATAACTATAATAAATATATAAATAATGTTATTGATGAATCATCATTCAATATCATCATTCAAAACTTACTGATCAACATGTAAACGTTGAGCAAACATTCTCCAATCGTTTCCATGTATATTTGGTGGATCGAGTACCGCACATAGTTTTTGTCGAATAATTTGTGGTAATCTAAAAATAATATGATTATTATAATATATTATTATTTATTTCTCTCTATATTACCTGAATAATCCATCGGTCGATATTTGACTCTGTTTAAGATGATTACTTCTTAACGTTGACGTATTATATTTTTCTAATAGTGAATTATTAAATAACTAAAAAAAAATATTCAATCTATTTTCTTTATTATTCTTTCACTTCTTTTCAACTTTTATTACTTACATTCGCGTTTTTAATAGAAATTCGCGTATGTAGAGCATTCGGTAGTATATGTGGTTGATAAATATCTATATGCATAGCCAAATGTCCAATGTCAGAAGGCTGAATATCGGGTATAATAAATATGAAACATGCACGATCAATACGACTAGACCAAAATATATCTAAGGGTATTTCTTTATATCCAATATTTATTCGAGATGATATTGATAATTCAAAATCGACATTAATACATATTTGATCAAAACCATCTTCTATTAAAAATAATTTTGGTTGATCACAGAGAAAACTATGCATGGATGTTTCTTCCGATAAACAACGCTATAAATAAGAATAAAAAATTTAAAAAAGGCTGTTGATATCAGTGTATTTTAATACACACCTCTAATGCATCTGATGTATTATCAATAAATCGTAATCTTAATATTGATGTCACTTGTTTAGCATCGTTCAATGAACGATTATAAAATGCTACCATTTGAATATATTTTGAAGCATGTTTAGTTGGTAATGATTCACCAACGAGAGCATAAGCACCCAGAGATTCCAACTAGAAAATGAATAATGGATGATAATTTTCTAATCAACAAATTATGGAATAAATTTTTTACCAGTATATAACATTGATGTGGATCCATATGAACATAAACGGGACTGGATATACTTTCTTGTCCAAGAATTAATAATTTCTGAAGAGAAAAAGAAAAAAAGATACAAGAAAAAATGATACTGTTGATTTTTAATTTTCGATTTATTACCACTCTGTCAACTTAAGATGTATACATACCTTCCATAGAATGATGTTCGCATCATTGTACTCTCCATTCATTAAACTTAATTGCCACGTATTATCAGCTAATAATGCTGTATGTTCAAATGATAAAACGGCTGGTTTTAACAGTGTGATATCAGAAGGTCCAATTAGAATGACTGGTGATAAACGCGATTCAGCTTCTATAATAGATAACCGCATGATTATTTTATCCTGTTTATTTAAATGTTAATCCTGTTACTAACCAGTAAGTGGAGGCATTTGAGAATCAATAGTTAATATAGCGATAAATATCAGATACTCTTCATCATCTAATACTGCTTGTTCTGGTATTACTAAACTAACACCTGTATTTGCTATTTGTACTTTACATCCTTTACTGTTCAACACAGACACGGCAAAATATCTTAAATCTGTATTCTGTGGTAATGATTGTAAAATTTTTTCATATACTGAATTTAATACTGAACTTGGTGTTGATCGAGATATTGAATCGGTGGTTGTGTGAGAATAGTCATTATTCTGTATATTTCGTGGTGTACATTTTGGTTGAAATCCACAATAATTGAGTAGATGAAATGAGCCACCACCTGGTACAATATTTGAACTATTTGTTGTTGTACTAATATTTGATGTGTTATTATTGTTATTTTGATTTAGTAAATGTTGCTGTTGTTGTTTATGATGTGTATAGAGTTGATGATGTAAATTATTGCCTGGTGATGATGATAATTCATTTAAATTTAATAATAATTTTTCTTTTTCAATTGATTCTGAATGAGTTAGAGAAGCATTTTGTGATGCACATGAACGTGTAGATGTGGTATCTTGTTGAATTGAATAATAAAATGGATATTCATCACGGGATATTTGCTCTTTTGTCGTTTTACTTGTCATACAATCGGGAAGAGCTAAAATAAAATTAGAAATTAATAAATATCAACTTTAAGAATATTTCAGATATTATTGAAGTTTCCGATTTGAGCAGATATGAATAGAATTCTGGTCGCTCTTAATAATCACTTTACTATAGTTTTTGTTATTATGAATGAGTGAAAAAAGTTGAAATCACGATGCATATTTCACTTCAAAAATATAAGTTCACATATAATAATTCAAAAGAATAGAGTTGTTCAAATAAATAATTAACACAAATATTTCATCATTAGAAACAGATAAAAAACGTTTCAATGCACACAGTTCAGAGTAAAGTAATTAATACGGTGTGAATTTTTTCACTCTTTAAAATTTCACTTAGGAGTCAAGCACATACACTAACAGATAGTTTTGATTGGTTTCGATTTATGTCAGTAATCTGTTTTCTATAAAATTCAAAGTACACGAATTCAGATTCAAAAGTTCATTTTCTTATGTAATATTTTCGTTATTATAAACAAATAGATAATTGTAGAGGAAAAAACAGTATTGAATACGTTTGTCTAGACAATGTATGTATATCTGGAACGATGCAAAAATCGTATGACCTAGCGTCTGATATCAGTTGATATAATCAGTCCTATATTTTCTATTTTTATTTTTCGATCGTTTACGTTAACATTTATGAATGTCAAAAATGATGATAATGTACCTTTTTTATTTTTTTGTCGTCTTCTTAAATACATAAATAATAGTAGAATAAGTATTAACAATATCAAACATCCAACACCGACTGATGTATACAAAATAATATTTAATGTTTTTGATGATAATATTTGATTACCTGCTTAAAAAGAAGAAATTTACATTAAAAACATATTCTTACACATTTTTAAGTTTAAACAAATGAGAAATGGATCTTAAAATTATGAATTTATTATTCATTAGATGTGAATGGCACCAAATTCTATCTTATGGTCGATTTCATTTAAATACTTTAAATTATAGACTTCATATTGAAACAGCTCGCTTTTATTGTTTCTGTCACCAGAAAGAACGTCGGTCTATTAATATACGATATACTCAATAATCATTACTCTTTGAACAATTATTTAGATGATACTTGTACCTTGTCTAAAACATAGGGGAACAGGAAATAGAGTAACACAGTTCAACAGTATTTTAGAAATAAACTCAATTTTTATAAGACACTCTTTGTTCAATCAATGATTCATTGATATAATCTTATAGCTTACTCGGACATAAATTTCCTTTACAAGGTTTTGTTTCTACATTATTTACACATTGTTGATTAGAGCATTGACGTGTTCTAATCATTTGACAATCACTGTTACACGACGACCATTCGGTCCAGTTTGACGACGATGGAGATGATAATTGTTGTACTAAATAAAAGATATTTTTTTCATCAATCTATCGTTTTATAAATTGTTGGCATACTTACCATTTGTCGGACGTTGTTGTCTAGCAGACAAAATTTGAGCAGATGAATTTGATGAACATGGTACAAAACATTCTCGTTCTTGAATTTGTTCTCCATCACATGCTTTTGTGTTTGGTTTTATACAGGCTCGATGGCGTTGTTGATGTCCCATAGTACACGAATTGCCTTTACATTCAGACCATGGGAACCAATCAGAAAATCCTTGCTCATCTAAAAGACAAAAGTGAATGAACTAAATGTTTTGTCATTGATAGTAAAGAGACGCACCAGCCACAATAATTCCTTGACGAACGTCTTGATCTGGTAATTGAGATGGTGAACTTGGACATGCCACTAGACATTCTCGTTCTTGTATTTGATCACCATCACAACTTGGACGATTTGTGATTGTTGGTGGATTTAAACATGTTCGAATACGCTTCTGACGTCCACTTCCGCAGGGAATACCTTTACACTCAGAAAATGGTAGCCAATCCGACCAGCCACGATCATCTATAAAAATAAGATAGATTAGTCTAATATTTTAATTATGTGAGTAGCTTTGTGTTGTACCATGTATTAGTAGTTCAGCTGGTTCACTTGAAAATTTTCCTGCTATATTTTCTGCAACACATGTGTAATTTCCTGAATCAGATTGTTTTACTTGTCCAATTAATAGGGAATTTTCACTTGATAAAATAAAACGACCACTCCGATTTATCTCCACAGGTAGACCATTCTTTAGCCAGCTCACCTAGAAAAGTAAAGAAATTCACTTATAGCCATCGTTTTATATTTAACTCATACATTGAAGGCATATTTGCATTATGGGCAGAGAGCTATTCTCTTTTCCTTCAAAAGATCTGATTCTTCATTTTGATAATAAACTGCAAACACGAAAAGATTTCATAATAAACACTTTTAATTTTATAAAAATAAAGAAAAAGTGTCTCTAATCTGATATTAGCTTAAGCTTTGTCTCAAAATTATATATAAAGAATTTTTACAATTCGTAAAATGAGTAGAGGATGAGATGGAATTGTGCACTTGAGTATACTTTTACGTTGGATTGCGTATAGGATTAAACTTGTAAAGTGAACATGTGTCTATCATGATTACTTAACCACCGATAGTTGTCCATACATATTAAAAGAATAGTCCAAAAAGGAACTGAAGGGCATATACTCAATAGTATTACTATGCTTCTCTTTTGTATGTCAATGATCTCTATTGTGTGTATGTATGTCAAAAAACAATAGAAGTATGCTGTAACTTGTGTATGATGATGATATTAACATAACATTGTAAAATAACATATACTTAGACATGTTAATAGGTTCAGATCGCGTAATCAATTTTGAAGTATGGTCACAGAGGAAAGTGGGAAATAAGATCACTCAAATTGAGCAGCATATTTCAAACACAGTACTATCTACCTTTCATCATTTATCTTATCATTCAATCAGTTTATGAGGCGTAAAACAGCTCTATTTTATACTAGAATAATTAGTATTAGGTGTTAAGTGTGATAAAAAAAAAAAGAAAGGTAGATATACACACACACACACATAGGGAATTAAAATATACTTGATAAAGAGATAATTACTATAATTAAGATAAATTATAGTTGCTCAATATGTACATATAACTACTACTAATAGGTTAAATATTTTTGCGTGTCCATGCAAGAAAATCGCCTAAAGATATGTGACAATTCAAATCCCGAACAATATATAATATATATATACTTTCAGTTTTCTTTTTTAACAGTCAATTGTTCCACAATAATTTGTTTTTTGACACTTCACATACAAGTACGGAAATAGTTAAAATTATAGACATTATTCAAATAAAATAGACCCCACAAATAACAGAAGACGACAAAAAAAAAACACGTGTACTACTTGAGAAAACAAGTGTGTTGTTACAGACTATCAAATGAATTTTTATGATTACTACAATAGCAAGTATCTATTCTCTATCCAAATGTTAAAATCTTATTCTTATGTTTTTACTAACTGTACAAAAAAACAAATGTTTTTTGTATCTGAATATGTTTTTGATTATGATCAAATATTTGTTTTTTAGATGATCTAAACCTCATAATTCAATAGTTAGTGATCATAAAGTTAAAACTGGTCTTTCTATGCCCTATTAACCTCCACGTATGTCTTTAGAAATGTTTATTTAGAGTCAACTGATCTTTGTCAAAACATTATTCAACAACCTTTACTTGTCATTAATAATTGCATCATTCTATATATAACTAGTAAGATATTATTATTATTTAAGAGATCAAATTGCTTTAAGAAAAAGAATAGACAATAAAAAACAGATCAACTAACATAAAGCCTTTTATTTTCGTTTATCCCATACACGTACACGCAAACACACACACACACACAATGATATATCTTTTATTGTGCTTAACTTACTTTTGGATAAGGTCTACCAGCCGGTGGTCGACAACGTAATTCGGCACTTTTACCCAAAACAGCATCTGTTCTTAATGGTTCCCAATCAAAACTTTTATCAAGATCTAAAAACGTGAAGAAAAAAGAGTTAATATTAAAAATAACATATCATTTCAAATTAAGGCACTCTAATAAAGTTTTGAAACAATTGTTTCATAAAAACATCTATCGTTTACGATGAATAAAAGTTATCAAACAACTGATTATGCTCTTCTCTATTTATGATGAAAAATGAACAACGTATTGTCTGACATGTAGACCACAAATCTGTTTTTAGCTGAATTTACATAAAATCAGTCAACATTTCGAAGTATATCTAACTGTTGAATAGTTTTAGAATCTGAATAGATTTATATTTATCTGAAGCCAATAATTGATGAGCAGTGGCATCGTTGACTCGAGTTCAAGCAGCTAGGGAAAGAATAATATCATCTAAAACATTAAATGAGCACAGATGGATATGTTTCTATCTTGACAAACGTGCTTTCTATGATCATTTGTCATTTTTATTCACTATCAATAATTCATAATATTCATTCACTAAAATGATGTTTTTTTTTCTTCTCTATCGGCTAGTTGGTTGTTGTTTTTTTTCTAATTTGTCGTCATACAATATTAAATATTGATGTCCTTATGGAAAAACATGGTTTTCTTTTGTTTTGTCACCTGAGTATGTGTCAAATTGTTAGAGAGAATAAGAATAGTTGAACAGAGAGTATAATTTTAATTGATTCTTTTGTTGTTATTTTTGATGTCAGTATGCTTCTTCTTTTTTTTTTCTTATATATAATACAACACGAAATGCTCAAATTATTAATTAATATTGACTAATTTTATCGAGACTTTTAAATTATTTTTTGTGTCTAATAAAAATAATGGATACTGTTTTGTTCACACACATACATTGATTACTATTATCATTATAAGAAAAAATTTTCACTTTGTGACATTGATTATGACAATAAGAAACATGGGACAAGATCAGAAGGTAAAAAGGTAATTATCAATTTTCAATAATACAAGGAAACATGCGTACTAATGAACAAAATTGTGGACAATACTTTAGTTCTGTGAGTACAGTCAATTGTGAGCAGATGGAATATTTTTAGAAACAGAGACTAATTTACGAAGTTTAGTATGAACTTCTTCTAGTTCCTCTTAAAACTATCGATACCAATGGTGACAGCAGCCTCAATTAAAGATAGTATATATAAAGAAAAAAAGAAAAAATTGCCCGAAAGAGTAAATTTCAAGGCAAAATCTCAATCATAAGTTTATTGTTCAATACTATCTAAATTGATTACATCTCAAGGTTAAAAGTACCACCACTCACATTCTCTGTTTCAAAAAAAAAAACAAACAAAAAATACAGTAACAGAAATTTCTCATTAAAGCAAATGTTCACTAATTTTTTTTTTTCATTTTTTTTTTCTTCTTCTAAAGTGTGTTTACCCAACATACTGAACAAATGCCACTAAAAGGCATATGTTCTTAATTTGCTTCAATAATAATCATTCGCTCAAAATGTTTCAGTTTAAGATTCTGTTATTGTTCGATATACGCATTTGTTATAGAAAAACGACAGAAAAAAATGATATTGTGCAGAAATTATCATTGGATTTTCATCATGATAATACGTTAAAGTCAAGTCGATTGTATTGTCTTATTCTATGTATAAATCTGTGTATGAAAAAAAATCTTCGTAATAAGTTCGACTCAACAGAAAAACCAACTTGACAAAAAAATACTCTATTATATTGTCAACAACACCAAATATGTATAAGTCTGGTCTTTTTATAAAATATTAATAATTTTATACACACGTATACAGTTTTCATCAAATTACAGATTGTCATCATTGTTTATTACTACGTAAGCAAAACACTTAGCCTCATTTTTCTTCAATGATGATATTAAATGAAATTGATAATATCAATTGTAAAATGAAAATGAGAGTCAATTTATTTAAAAATAGTATTAAAGTTTGAGAGACAAATTATCATATGTATACGATTGTTTAAAATATAATATAGGCATTATATATAATATTGTGTCTATTTTAAAAACACTTATATTCTAAAGCTGAAACATTTAGAAATCAAATGCTTTATGATGATGATGATATACTCATGAGGTAAACATATATGATAGATATCGTTAAAGATTGAATAAATCCTTACATGTACAATAGAGGATTAGACAATATGATTGGTATTTACATGTTAAAAATGATATGATATGATCACTAAAATAACCTTGAAAAAGCCTTTCAATAGGTTCATTAATCCAATATCATTCATTTAATCTTGTTGTCTATCCTACATCAATAAACTTTGTTGATGACTTTACACTTATACACTATAGAGATCTATTATTAAACTTTTATTTCCTCTTCATTTTCTTTTTTTTGTTTGATGTTGATTTTAAATGACTAGTTACCTTTCTTAGATTCTTACAATTAAAAACATATACATATCTGGAATAGGGATATAAAATGATTAACAAAATATTTTTTGCTATATATTATAGGATTAAATTTGAAAAGAAAAATAATATATAGAGATGAGAAAAAAAAAAATACTTACAAGCAATTTCAATTGTAGCTGGACGACTTTTGGCTGTACCACCTGTGGCTGACCATGCTTGACAAAAACATTTAAATCCATCAGGATCAATATGAGATTCTAATTGATAACTAGTAATATCGATTGATGTCACAATAACCGTGCCTTTATCCTGAAAATATATTAATAAGATAATAATTCTTGTTCAGTTTTCTGATCTACTCTTTCGCTTGACGAAGAATCACTCAATTTTTTATTTAATCTAATTCTTTATCTTCTGTAATCTCAATCTCATTTCTCTCTCTCTCTCTTTCTCAGACAACTATTCAAAATGACTAATATCTTTTAAATTTGAAATTAAATAATAATGATCAAACTGTTTAACATGCAACGAGATAAATTTAGCTCTTCATGTATATGACAAATTTTTTGCCACTACCTTTCAATTTTCATTTCATTTTTTTTGTTTCTACTATCTTACACAATCATGTGCTCGCTCACAGTCACGATTTTCTAATGATATAATTTCTTTTTTTTTCCGAAAGAATGATGATCAATTACAGCACATTTTCTTCTTCGTTTAACATATACTCAATATGTCTCTCTACAAATGTAATTCGATGAAGATTTTTTCAAGATGTATTTTTAATATTAAAATAAAAAAAAAAAAAAGTTAAAACAATCAAACAAGTTTTTTATTTTATTTTTTTCGTTGAAAGATAAGAAAAAAAGAGAGAGGGAGAGAGAGATTACTCGTGCGTGTCAGCAATCTCTCTTTGAAATCGTTTTTTTTTTCTCATTCTCATGAACACAAAGTGCAGGTCTAGCATGACTCAAGGTCTCGCAAGCGAATAATTGATATTTTAGATAAGATGTATATATTACGCTTAGTAAAATGATAGTCAACACATAAACCACCTGTCCTCGGGTTTGTTCTTTTTGAACTAAAGGATAAAAATCGATATTTTTCCTAATAATAGCTCAAAAAAACAATATTTTCTAAGAAATGGATGCATGTACTCTACAGTTTTCTGTTATACTAATAACTTTATATTTGAAATTATTTATTTTTTGTAAAATACTTACACTATGATCCGTTGATTTTGTATGTTCATGTTCTGGTACCCATTTATTATCACAATGAAAAAATATTTGTCTTGTACGAATTGCTTTACACGTTAATGTAACTGGACGATTTTCAAATATAAATGATGATTGGGGTTCTTGAAGAAATTGTGGTTGTTCAATAGGTTGAACCATCATTGAATAAAATACGAAAATAAAATAATAAAAACGATATGTAATGAATTTATTAGTTATAAACGTGAAATAAATGAATAACGAGATTATTAATAAACATAAATGACCATTGAAGAATCATCATTCTAAAATGAACTAAAAATTCTTTTTTCAAGTTAAATGAAGTTTTTTTCTTTGTATTTTCAAACTGTTCACACTTACTTAAAAATCAAAAACAATAAGAAAAAAAAATGAATTGTAGTAACTGGTATTCCTGTTATGGTATTATTGAACACTTAGTCAATACTCTTGAGACTATGTATCTCTTTTCTTAAACAAACCAAAAAAAAAAAGGTTTTCCTCTTATTCTTTTTTTCTCTTTCTCTCTCTCTCTCCTTCTCTCTTTCTCATCTCATTTTGACTTTCTAGTTCCAGTATATATTTTTTATTTAAAAAAAAGAAAAAAATGTTACTTGTATTGAATATTTTCTTCTTTTTTTCTTCGTCTTTATTCGTTCATCGTTATTATAACCATTATCATTAGAAAAAATGGGAGAGAAAAAATTTGTACATAGCTTAAAAAATAAGGATTATTTTTCTGATAATACATAACTCTCATCAAGATATAGAAAAAAAAAAAAAAAAAAAAAAACACCAACAACAAAACGATATCTTGTAACTGTAAAATAATTTTTATATTACGGATAGAAAAAGAATCTGTCTTGTTATATTGGCAAGTTTGAATACAGATCAAAGTTATATCATATCTACAATGACTGATACATATCAGTAATCTTGTAGATGAGTTTTCTATGCATGATGGCACGTCCGCAAGTCAACTTCTGACAGTTTGTTGTTAGAGAAATTTTCATTAATCTACTATTCTATAAGTTTTAGCCTACTATGTATTACTTGTATGACTTTATGTTTAAGAAAACATATATTCTTAGAATAAGTAGTCTAACAACTTACGTCCCTCAATTTAAAATTGTTCTCCATTTTCATTAAGAATAAACATTATTCTATTTGAATGATAATAAGTCGAGACAAATAAAAAGCATGTAGTAGACATATATACCAATTTTACTTCTTCAGGAATACACTAATAATAAAAACAAATAGAACCTGCTTATGTTAAGAATTGTTAAGGCGTGACTCAATTAAAAAATGATTAAAAAATATTTTGAAAAAAAAATAGCATCACTCTATGAAGTGTGAGAATGAACAAGAAGAAAATGTGTCAATTGAAAAAAATATATATATTTTTGTGATTAAATTAAACATTTTAGAAAAGATATACCTACAGTGGATTAAAGTGAATAGGAAATATTTTAAAATTTTATGCTTTTAACTTTAGTTTTTCTTTTCTTTTTTGTAAAATGAACAAATCCACAATAATATCAACAATATTTAGATATTTAAATGGAACAACTAGCTTAAATACACATATTTTTCTCTTTCTTTTTTGTACATATCAAATGATGAAGAAAAGAAATCTGGTGTATATAACACGATGCATATATCTTTACTCACGTATACGTTTCAAGTCACGAATCTCATTGTGAACAATCATAAGTACACGTATACACACTTTTCTGACTTCATATATATAGATGTTCTCGTCGTCTAAGTCACACACACACAAATAATGATGAACTACACTCTCTCTCTCTTTCTCTCTTGCTCTCTTGCTCTCTTGCTCGCTGTTCAGAAGAAAAATGAGAAAACGATATAAGCGGCAATGATTATGTCTGTTATTTTAATACCGTTTAAGAGAAAAAGAGAAATGTTTAGTTGTTCTTTTGTATATATATATATAAGTATGTATTTATATGTACAATGATATCTTCGTCTTCATTATATTTATAAGTAATATTCATTCTAATTAACTAGGATATTAACCAGAACTGTTCTTTCTTTAAACATCATGTTTATTGAGAACACACATATACAGGAAGTATAAACTGTAAAATTAGTACTTATTCAATGTCCAAAAGTCTCGGCTATTTAAAGTGAACTCAACCTTCGGATAATTTAAATTAATTTTTCAAGATGTTATATCAAGGGCATTCTAATTCTGATATTTGAGATTTACATAAAGAGTGTATATCATTTATCTGTTAAGATTTCTTATTTTACTACATACTTTAGTTTCGACAAAACAAAGATTTTTTTTCTGTTTTTTTTCATTTTTTAATGATTTTCTCTTTTTTTTTCCAGTTCGCTGAAATTAGATGTGTTTTTCATTGAAGTCAAAATCAAAAATGATCAAAGTTTTCAGCATATGTATAAAATTTCGTTTCTAACAAAAGTAAAACTTGAAATAGAATTTAATCAGTATAATTATTTCTTTTTCTTTTTTTGCCGTAGTTTATACGACGTTTTTAACGCTCGTTTATCTTTTTATTATTTTCAACTTCTATGATGCCGAATGTCTTCATTGGTATATCAATACATCTAATTAGAGTAAGAGACAGGGAGAGAGAGAGAGAGAGAGAGAAACGAATGGCAAATAAGGTTAATATTTTTTGTTATCAGAATAAAAACCTTTACACCAAATTTCAGTATATTTTCTTGTAAATAATAGTATAGAAATTATGGCAGTGTTAGAGATGATGATGATGACTGATAATCAAAGTGGATTGAAACGATAATCGAATGCCTTGACATGTTGTCCATTGTTTCATATAAAAATTTATGGTGTCATCGTTGTCTTAATGTTTGCATTTGTTGCTGGTGGTGTAATACAATAGAAGTCAAGATTTCTATCAGTGACTCCACCATCATCACTACCGTGTATATACATAACAGAATAAGTAATGGATGTATATTTGACATATTTACCTTGACTATGACAAGTATATACTGATAACTAATGATTTTCCATCTATTGACACAATATGAATGTATCATCGAAGAAAAGAGGGTGGGCTATCAACCTTCAACGATTTTAAATATACTCGACATCAACTAAATATCATCAATTTAACTGATCCATTCGCCAAAAAATAACGTTTAGTATTATTTTCCCTAACAATTGGAACAATTTTGTTCATGTTTTTTCAATGTTTCAAATATTCGAACCCTCATTAAACAAATATATATAATGAAGTTTAACAAATGTACATATAGCCTTGTCCTCTCTTCTTTTTTTTTTTTGATCAATCAACAAGGTGCATGTTTGTTGTTCATTATTACCTAATGAACAGTTGATTATATATGCAATCAACATACATGTACACACACACAAAAAGAAGAAACAAAAAACTTGATCTGGTAAAAGAGAATAGTTACGGAGGAAAAAAAGTGAGAGTGAAACAAGGGAATTCCATTATTATATATATTTCTTCCCTTTTTTTTTCTATTTAACAAGGTCGTTTTGGATCATCACACATGATCAAATCTATTAAACGTGAAGGTTATGGAAAGTGACCAATTAATATAGTTCAAATTAAATGTAACAAGTATGAGTAAATATCTAATGGTGACATAATACAAATAAACAAAACAAAAAAAAAAAAAAGAACTTGTTCTAATTATATCCTTCCTTTCAAGAGAAATGAGGAATTTTAATTATTTATAGAGAAGAAGATGAAAAAAACAACATTCTTTACCCCGCTATTGTCAATTGTATATCAACAAACTAGTAGCTTGTTGCCACTTTTGACCAAATTATGAGTATCAATATTCTGTCTTATGAACTTTTTCCTCTCTTTTTTTTTTTTTCTTTTTTATTGTTGTTGTTGTTGTTTGAAGATGTAATACATAAAATTTAAAATAACAAATCGACACATTAACGGTGTATTTATTGTCACAGCATGTTTGATTATTCTTATTTCATAAACGTACAATTCATCATCACATTTAACTACTATGTATAATGAAACGGATATGCGCACTATAGAGTTCATACGTCAATACCGTGTGATGATACATTTGATGATCATCGATATATATACGGTAAATACAAGTGAAAATTTTCATCATGTATGTACAGAAATAATATCCCAAATGAATAGAAAAGGACAAATCATTATTATTACACTATTAACATATATATATATATATGCACACACACCGAGAACAAGAGCGGGAACAGAAAAACGAAGAAGTGGACTACTACTCCTCCAGGAGTTCCATTTCTAAACTTTATACAAGATTATATTACAAAAAAAAGAAATTAAAGTACATTGAAGCAGTAAATGGTACAATATAAAATAAAAAACTAATTGAAAATCAAAATTTTTTTAATAACTCTCATTTTCTGTACATACTAGAATTGATTTATAAGTAATATTTTTAGCTTCTAAATCTTCATCTTTCTAACAGACATATACAGACCTCATATTATTATTTAACATGAATCTATTTCTTCTTATATTACATAAATTCTCATCATAGATGATCAATACGGTAGAAATTTCAATAGGTTTTTTTTTTTTACAATTATTTTATCATTAACAATTAATAATTTGATTGAAGCGAAAGTGTTTAACGATTATATAATATAACAGTGATATGAACAATTAGTGTCTCGACATTCAAATTCAACTCGGTTATTGATAGATAGAGAGATAGATAGATAGATAGCTTATAAGTTATAATCTAAGTTTGATTTCGTTTCATATTATTACTACTAATATATATCATCGATAGATATACGCGACAGTTATCTGTTAGTTTACAAAATGACCATCACTCATAAAAAAAAGATTATGATATTCGTATAATGTGTATATATATATACACATATTATATCTTCACATTTTGATTAGTTTTGAGAAAGAAAAAGAAAAAATAAATGCGAAGAGGAAAATATAGTTATCAAATCTATATATTATCGAATATTTTTATCCCGTTATTACTACTACTACTACTACTACTACTATACTCCTACAAGAAAAATTAATGATGAATGAATGAATGCAAACAGTTGGGTGAATCACGAAATAAAAACCAAACCTGTTACATAGTATAAATACCGTTTTTACCTCTATTATTTAAAAATAGATTCAAAAATATAG